TTGGTAGCCGGTTGTGCGAGCTCGACATAGTTCGAAAGCACATCCGCGGCCGTGATATTGACATTAGTTGGAAGAACTGTCGGGCCATTCGCCTTGATATTCAAGACCGCATCCCACGCCAGCCCAAATCTCGCTACAGCCCTTCTGATATTGTTCTTAGGGTTGGTAGGCAAAATAGCAAGGTAGTCTCCAGCTTTGTAGACCATATCAGTCGGCAGCTTGATCTCAACATGCCTCTTCTCCGGCTGACCAGGAGTAGTAAGAAGCCTGTTCTCCACCAATAGTGCTCCCCTCACATCCTGCTTCAGATTCGTGGAGCGGCTTTGCGAGGAAACAGTAACCTCAATAGAAGGAGTTGGTACCGCGTCGGGCGAAGTAGCAGTGCCGCCATAGTTTTTCTCAACTGCAGGCCAGTACTGCGTATCCTCCCATCCGTCAAAATCAGTAAACATTTCGCCATTAGCAGCATCCGCTGTACCCTTCTCGACGATTCGTTCACCACCCCGCTTCCCAATAAGCTCATCTACCAAGGTTGGAATCTTCTGGAAAGTCGCCTGCCAGTCACGATGACCGCAGCCAAAGACCGCAAACTGGACTCCCTTGAGCTCGTCTTCCTTGAGGCTCTTCAACCACTCTACAAAGTGACCCGCATTATCCGGAGGAGCTCCCTCGTATGAGGCTGTGATAATGACAACTGGCTGGTCTTTTGGAAGCTTATCAGTTGCAGAATCCAGTGGGCCAACTTTAGCGTCGAAGCCGTGCTGAGTGGCTTCTTTTGCTAGTCTTGCGGCGAGAGCTTCACATGTTCCTGTATTTGACCCGTAGAAGATACTCATTGGCTTCAAGTTGGAGGGCTTGCTCGATGTCTCTTTGAGTTTGGGGTCCTCTGTAGAAGGTGCGGGACCGGCCTGAAGCTTCTTTTCGAGCATTGTAGCGTCAATTCCATCTCTCAGAGTTGCACGCATCTTGAAGTCTTTAGGCTTGACCGTCAAGGTCTGCTTGATCTTCAGCTGATAGCTAGGGTCGTCGAGCTGGAAGTTAAAGTTCTGTAACAGAATCGCAACTACAAGGAGAGCTTCTTGCCAGGCGAAGGCTCTGCCTATGCAGCCTCGCATCCCGTTTCCAAAAGGCTATAATATAAGTGTCAGCATCATTGACATTTGCAATTATGAGAGATATGTTGATTACCTTCCAAGCATACTTGGGTAACTTCTCAAATGGCTCGTCTAACATCCTCTCTGGCTTGAATTCTTCCGCATCTTCTCCATATACCGCTGGATCTGTATGCACCTTTGACAACAAGCAGAGGATGGGCTCGTTTTTGCCAATCGCGTACTTGCCTCCGCACAAAGTAGGGTGTTCTTCCACGCCCGGCTTTGAGCACATACTGAATACGGGTGCGGTGGGATGGAGACGGAGTGTCTCACGAAGGACGGCGTTAAGGTATTTCAGTTTTGAAATGTGCTCTATCTTGATAGGGCCTTTCCCGCAAACGTCATCGACTTCTTGCTGCGCGGTGCGGTAGGCAGCGCTATTTTTGAGCAAGAGATAGAAGGCGAATGATAACATTCCAGACGTGGTTTCATGACCTAAATTGATACAGGAAATCAGTGTTAGACATATTGAAACTCAACTCAAGTAGGGGGCGAAAAGAAATGCATACCAGCGATCAGGAAAGTGATCATGTTATTGATGATCGATTCATTTGACATGCCCTCCCCTGTGACCGGATCCTTCCCATTCAACATGGCATTCAACAAGTCCTTCTTTCCCGACGGCTTCTCCTTCCTCCTCTTGATCACCTCGTCACTCACGTTTTTCATCAAGGCGATATCAGACTCATACTTCTGGCTCGATCCTCTCATCAGCAGGTTTGCAATCGCTGGCCTCTGGGCTCTCCGTCCGGACTCCGAGAGAAAATCTCCCATAGCTCCAACAAAAGGATGCAGTTCATCGGTATAAAAGGAATTGAAGCGGTAGTCCATGGAGCACAACGCGATAGTGTCAAGGGTCAGCCTGGTAAAGTCGTCTGTAGCTACGATCTTATGGTCTGGACCGTGACGAGCCCACTTCATAACGAGCTGACCCGCAATATCGTGCATTTCTATTCATCACAAACATTAACATTTTTAGCCAATGGTCGGAGGAGCTTCAATATTTACCATCAAACATTCCTTGAACCGATAACGGCCCAAAAGCTGGCATCAAAATTCTATGCGCAATGCCCCAATTCTTTTCGTCATGATGTGCGGTAAACAGGCCGTCTTTAACTCCGTTTCGTACTTGATTCAGCCCTCCTTGGATGACTTTGATGAATCTTTCTTCGTTGCAGGCCTCTTCTACTATTTCCTGTGAGCTGATAACTACTTTTGTCACACCTCCGCCAAAGTTGAAACGGTAAATCGGGCCTATAATGTCCAATTAGCCATATTACAAAACGTAATAGCTTGTAGTAATTACCATAGATGTCTGCAAAGTGTTGCAGAGTGTTTGTGGGTAATTCTGTATCAAGATCCGCCAGGTTTCCTATGATTGGGAACCCAGGTGGTGCGGGAATAGGAGTCGTCATGATTTCTTCAGAACAGTCCTTATTTTCCTGTGGAAATATTTAAATCGATACCCGGTGGAGTCGAATGATGGAATTGATAATGATGATGAGGGCTGCTTGTACTCTTAAAGCTGGTGGACATGACGATATATATATATGTATCGAGAACAACCCCGCTACACAGATCTGCAAGGTTGTCCAAGCTATACCATAGTATTGCTACATAATATGATGTACGAAATTCTTCTCATGCACCTCGGTGAGAATAAAGTTCCGTACTTCTCCATATTACCTACTACATGGTATTGCTACATGAATAAATTTCCGTACTTCTCCATATTAACTACATGCATGTGACTCTAATTCAAGAGTGAAGGCGAAAAGCGGCTAGCTTTTTTGCAGGATGCCTCCGAGTGCTCCGAGTGCTCCGAGTGCTCCGACTGGAGTTTTATTTTGTCCGACTGCACATCGCCCAGTGGATGAGGCTGGCGCAGGACGGGATTTCGGAGGCCGCAAGGGTCTGTAAATGTTTCAAACGGGGTGGATTTGACCCGCGGCTTCATATGCGAAGGGAACCCGAAACGTCAGTGTTCTTGGCGTCTATTCAAGCTTCCATTTAAACAATTATCCTGCATAAACCTCCGACGGAGATTCCAAACCAGTGGGGAAATACTGGCTAAGGTTGCCATTGATATTCATTGAAATTTTGGTTTTTATCTCCGTCGGCAATGTATTTCGAACAGCAGCTTTGTAATGTAGCGCATTTCGCACGTATGGTGCGGCCTTTGCAAGGCTGCCATTTAACATTTCCCCTCTCAGACCACCGCCGTATGGTTTCAGTATCGGTCGCCCTATCTTTCTGCGGGTCGATAGCCGAGTGGATATAATCAACATCTTCAGCAATGAGAATCATACGTCCGATAAACAATCAGGTCCAATTCTGCGCGCGTATGCGGCTGCGACGGCAGATTGGAGTAAGTTTCACCGAGCCGAGTTTCGCATGCATAGCGAAATCGGATGTAACAATCTCACAAAGCCTCACAAAACCACCTCGAATACCTACTGGACTCAATCAAAAATCAATTCACTCTTCCATACCAGAGTCTTGGAACCCACCTACCTATTTTCTGTTTAAATTTGCCACTAGAGTACGTGATGTGCGCCATTTAGCTGCTATCCTGCGTGCCTCGGCTCACCTACCGAGTGACATCTCATGCCGCAACATCAAATTCTCCGAAGCTTACGTCTCCAGCCCGGATTTCCCGCCAAAAGAGGCGTTTAATCGTTCCAGAAGATTAAAAAATATCCCGCAAAAAGCTTGGTTCCACATCATTCGAGCGAACGGAGAAACACCAATTTTTCGACAAGGCATTTCATCCTGATTCGGCCTAGTAGTTGGTCGCATGTGCCTCGGCATCCGCGAGCAACGGCAGGATTAGCTATGCTTCATCGATACATTTGCAGCGAAATATTTCTGCCACTGAGCTTTGGCGACGGAGCTTCTGCATAAAGACCGGAGATTTGTCCTGGAAATATGAACTTCTTTAGGGAACTCTAAACCGACACATGAATCCGTCGAATTCATCTAATAGATTTTTCTCAATAGATAAACGTAAGAATATCAGAAGTGCTTGTGGATCTAGGTAGGGCTTGGATGCACATAGAGTAAAGGCCCAAGATGAGACTGATAATGGCAGTACGAAGACTCAGGTCCCCAATGTGCCTTTCTGCTGAACACGATGTTTGGAGCTATTAGCGGTTCTAAGTGATCGAAAGTTTCCACTGGATGGGGCTTCGTCGATTCGGCTCATCGATGAATCTATCTCGTTGGAAATGAAAAGGGCAAATGATGGTTTAGCGAAAGGAAGAAAACTTTAAAGGCAAAATCTGCTGGGCGACATAAGTTATCATGTTAATGAGGTTTGAAGTGTAGTCTCCTCTCCACCTCCCTCTCATAGGATTAGATATCAGCTTTTGACGAATAGGGATTCTCCTTTATTTGAGTACGCTGGCCAAGAGTTCTATCCCTGCTCGCCAACATCTTTGAAATTTAGCCACTATTACTTCTTGGCAGATACTATTGCACTTGTAGCCAAGGCGCTGAGGACGTTGATGTCATGAACCATCACTCGTCTTTGATGAACTCGATCGGGCCATAGCTATATAGTCCCACCTAGAAAGAATAAGAAGCACAAATGATGGCAATCGGCAAATCTATTCTCTCAAGCCATATCTTGTTTACAAAATAAGTCAAAGCATACATGGTATCACTGGAGTGTTCAAAATAGCATGAAGTTACGAATAATCACCATAGAAATTCTAGGCCCATCAAGGTCAAGAAAAATTCCTCCCCGCCTTGCAGAGAGTGAAAATAGAAGAGAGAAAAAATACAAAGAAATTGAAATGAAAACGCCTTCGTTCAACATCCATTGCACACGGAAACGGGAGGACCTTATTCAACTCTTCCTTTAGCCGTGTACACAAATCTTCTGATCTTCATTAGATCCTGTCTTCCATCAGTCTCAACTCCACTGCTCACATCAACACCACATACTCCCATAGCCACCAAACCCTCCTCATCTCCTACCACATCCGCTACATTTCTGTAGTTCAAGCCACCCGCCAACATCACTGGGGTCTTAATTGCGCCCTCGGTCAAAGTCTTTTTAATATCTGCTACATCAAGCCTCTCGCCAGTACCACCCACACCAGAGTCAAGTAATGGCATAGCGTGTAACCCACGCTTATCAAGGCCAGCTTCACCAGGTGAGAAGCGGCGAATAACTGGGACGGGAAGAAGACGAGCCCATTCAAGTGGTTCTGACCCATGAAGCTGCACGATATCCAAATCTAGCTCTTGCTGTTTCTGAAGGACATACGAGAGTGGCTGATTCCTGAAGACGCCCACAAGAAGGGCGCGGGTTGGGTGGGAGATGAGGCTTTTCTTGGAGTGAGTGAACCAGTCTTCTGCTGTAGTGACCGGCGACGGTGGGGTAGAGGCAGCTGATGAAGACTTGACGCCGCCTTTAGGGGTTGTATGGACGACGACGGAAATTGCTTTAGCGGTGTCAAGGTCAACAGTTCGTTTTGTGCCCTCGGCAAGAATCATGCCAATCATATCGGCGCCTGATTCAACCGCTACTTTAGTGGCTTCCACAGTACGAGTTCCACAGATCTTTACCAAAACTTCCGGCCTCAGTTCTGGGGCTTTAGCTGGTGCCGAGGTTGGCTCATTGAGTAATTCGTTGATGAAGACATCCACAGTTTTCCCTGCCCTCATCAGGGCTTCGCCCACTAAAACAGCACCAACCCCTTCTTTTTCGTATCGTGCTACATCATCTCTCGCTGAGATTCCACTGAGAGCACAAAGAATTACCTTCTCTTTGTCAATCATTCCAACCAATCCACTAGTGGTCTCAAGGTCCACTTTAAATGAGTGCAAGTCACGATTGTTGACACCAATGACTTTAGCACCGATTTTCAATGCCCTCTTCATTTCCTCACTGCTGTTTACCTCCACGAGTGGCTCCATTCCTAGCGTTTCTGCGGAGTATTTATATAACCTCTCTAGCTCCTCGTCGCTGAGCATTTTAACAATAAGGAGAACAGTATCAGCACCAGCCAACCGGGCCTCGAGGATCTGGTATTCTTCAAATATGAATTCTTTCCTCAAGATTGCTGGTCGGTTAGGCATTCCCTCGACTGCCTGCCTAGCAGCCCTGAGATCATCAATCGACCCCTTAAACCACTCGGGTTCCGTCAATACTGATATAGCGGCCGCGCCGGCGAGAGCATATGTCCGGGCTTGGACGGCAGCTGAAGCATCGATGTCAATCAAACCCTTTGAAGGTGATGCACGCTTGATTTCGGCCATAAGTGCGCATTTGGTCGAAATGGAGCGCAGGCGGCTAACTAGGTCGATTTGGGGCGGAGAGATAGACAGTGAGTGAAGGGTTTCGAGATCCGATGGTCGCTGAGAAGGCAACAGTTTTTGAGCAGCGACTGCATTGCGACGGTGGGCATAAATTCGGTCAAGAATAGAGCCCGAAGCAGCATCTTGAGGCGATGTCGACGACTGGGCGGGTACAGAGCTTGTAGTTCCTGCGGTTGCATAGCTCTCGTTCTCTTTCCAAGTTCCACCCTTCATCTCAAGAAAATTCCGGATCATCAAACGGCCTTCCTCAGTCAGAATACTCTCCGGGTGGTATTGAATTCCCTCAACTGTGAATTCTTTATGTCTAACTCCCATGATCACGTTGCTTTCTGTTTTGGAGTTAATCTCGAGTACGGATGGCAGTGTGGCGAGTGTCCCAGCAAGAGAGTGATAGCGGGTGACTGCAATGTCCTGGGGAACATTGCGATAAATTCCCTTTGAGTCATGCTTGATGTGTGAAGTCTTTCCGTGAACGATTTCCCCAGCAAACGATACGGTGCCACCGAAAGCGCTAAAGATGCATTGCCTATTATGCAAAAAATGCTCCTAGTTAGTATGGAATTTGGACTTGTAAAGAGCTACTTGAGACTCCCGTTTGCACAAGCTCCTTAAACGCCATAACAAAGGATAGATAAACTCACACTCCCATACAGACACCAAATACTGGGATCTTTCCTGCGAAGTGCTTGATACATGGTATACTGACTCCCGAGTCGGTCTCTGGGTGTCCAGGGCCAGGAGAGATCACAATCTGCGTCGGGTTGAGATCGATAACCTCTTGCAAGGTTATCTTGTCGTTCCGGAATACAGTACATTGTGCGCCCTCAAGTACAAGGAATTGGTAGACGTTCCAAGTGAACGAATCGTAATTATCAATCAGAATGACATTTGAACCCGGGATAGGCTCACGAGGGTCTGTTGGGATTGACATTGTACCGTGTAGGGTTTGGGAATGGCGATGTAGCTACGGGATATTGGAAGGTGGCCTTTTTAGATATATGGATATTAGACTTTTTAATGAGTCACGCCAGTAACGGAGCGGAGGTATAAACCCGACTTGTGAAACAGCCTTTGAGAAAATCACCTTAGAAGTATCTTTATCAATGGATAAAAAAGAAAACTCGGCGCTGAAAGAAAACGAGTTTATAGTAGATTCTTCCTACGCGGTGACCGACAGTGGGAGCGAGGGGTGGAGAAGAGAGGGTCGAGGGAAGATCTGCGCAGCGGGCTGGAGGGTAGTGGAGCTAGGGATTTCAATTCAGCCATTTCCGCCATCTGAGGTGGGATGCAGGGTGGGGCAGATGACTGATCAACTGATCAGGGTTGAATTTGTGTCTCCGGGTAAGTTCCAAGCCAAATTCCAATATTCCGGAGGCAGAGAGTACATGTAGTACTACTCGCAACTGAATCACTTTTGTTTTATAACCGATAAATCTATAAAACGCAGCTATCTATGGCCGGTTCCGGCTTCATGGCCAGTAGTCGACGTCTATAGATAATATTTATCACACTTGATTTTGCCGATTTCTGCAGGCTACATGTACATGTACTTTCAAGTAAATTAAGATGTACCGGTTTACTCTCGCCCTTAAGCTAGCGCTGATCTCTCGTATGTTATTTGACAGCATTATGAAAGGGTACCATAATTTACATGAAGTATCTATTAGAAGTTAAAAAACAGCGAATTTCTGAAATTTAACAGCGCTCGAGCCGTCGGAACAGATATAGTCTACTTCTCATGTGCTTTATGTAGTTACATGTAAGTAGCTATAGCTAGATTTTACGCCTTCAAATGCTATATAAGCATCCATGTCTATATATTCCCGCATCTACATATAGTCATACGGATACACAGTCAATATTTTCCAGTCTAGTACTTGCTACACTTCATGAAAGTCACGTATACATGTAGTTTGATAGTTGACTTGATTATGAATCTCAAGGCAGAGTCCCGTCTCTAACTAGGATATACCAGCTAATCTGGTATACCTATACTACTTGTACAACGCCGAGTGTTCTCTTCTAGCTAAGGATACAGTGTTCTCAATATCTATCCTTACACTTCAATATACCTTTAGACCCTATAGCTACTTATATTTATATTCATCGTTTTCCAATGGTATGGCAAGTTTCTAAGTCGGGTACTGGGCGGCTAAGTACATATATCTACTATGAGGCTTGTCCCCGAAGTAAATAAATTTAGGGCAATAACATACACATACTGTGGTTGGTAAATCTACATACCTAACAGCACTAACATACACATACTGTGGTTGGTAAATCTACATACCTAACAGAGCGAATTTCTGTCTCAGTATAAGTCATTCACTTCAAACTCTGTCCCCCACCAAAACTGCTAAGCTGATTTAGAGCTTGGATTTCAGTAAACCGACATTGTTTGGGGGCTGACTGACCATTATCAATTGAATACTGAAGCTTTCAAGAGCGCTCCCGTTGATGGAGAACGCAGATACATGTATGTATATAGCTAGTAGAGTGCTATAAATAACCGCATTATATAGTAATTAGTTAGGAAGCTTTAGGCACAAAATCTCCGGTCCATGCAAAATCCATGTATATACTCGCTATCATCCATAAGAACCCGAAAATGCAAGTGACATTTACAAGGATTATTTGTATGTAGTGGCGCCGTTCTCCCCTAGAAATTATCCCTGGCTTATTCACCTGCATTTTCAGGTTCTTATGGATGATAGCGAGTAGTTGTGCCCATTTTGGTGGTCCAGCCACGGGTGTCACGTTGTGAGGCTCGTGCGTTCTTGGCGAGGCGTCAGCGGGGAGCAACAACTACGAACATTCCCCTCGTGTATCTAGCTGCCAGCTTCATACACTTCTTGGAGTCTCCAGCTATCAACATATCACGCGTATCTCAATCGTACCAATACCCGAGTCCTTTCCAAGTTCACCATGGTATCCACCTCTCTCTATTCTGGTGGTTCAATACCGACACATAATCCCCCGTTGCTAACCATGCTCGTGCACCAAATAGCTTCTCCTTGAATATCACAATCTCCTTCTAAAGTCAATCCTGACGGAGCGTTTCAATAGGTAAGTTTTAAAGCTTCTAACTTATCAATATCACACTTTAGATCACTGACAGCAGTTTGATACAGTGCAACCCCCGCCTCAATTGACCAGGTAATCTCCGACTTCGACGGAGTTACCTTCCACATCTCAACCCCGGAAACAAAAACCAAGATACTTGTTTCTATCTCTGTCAAATGCTTCTCGGATCTTGTCCAACACGGAGCGCTGGGAGTTCTAGAGCGAGAGTACGCTGGACTCATTACCGACGTTGAAGCCGGCTACGACTTCTCCTTAATCGTGGATCTAGAGAATCTCCCGGCAGAGCCAGGCATGTCTTCCCTTCGGTCTGTCGGATACTCGGAAAACTAACCTGAGAATTTCTGACAACAGAGGAGAAGGAGAACCTGATCCGTCGCCTTTCCCTATTGAAGCGGAACACCATGGCTGCACCGTTCGAGAAGGCGATTGATGAGCACCATCGCCTTGCAGAGGCTCAGAAGGGATTCACTACGGAGACCGCACCAACAGGAGAAGGGACGGAGGTTATGGTTATCAGATACAGAGAGGAGGAGGCCATGTACATCCAGGCTTCCCACGACCGTGTTACCGTTATTTTCAGCACTGTTTTTAGAGAAGAGACGGATAGGATCTTCGGGAAGGTCTTCCTGTCGGTATGCTGAGCTTACCTTCTGTCCCCCAAGTTTAAGCTGCTAGGCTAACTCTATGGGAAGGAATTCGTTGATGCCCGGCGACGTGCTATTCAAAACGCCCCGCAGGTCCTGTACCGGAACGATCCGCCCCTCGAAATCCGCAATGTAGCCGGTGTGAAGGACGATGGAACCGGTGAAATTGGATACATCACTTTCGGTGAATCCTCCGCCAATCCCTTGTAGGATAATTTGCTAACATACCCAGTTCTTTTCCCCCGTCATCTCACCCCTCAGCGACGAGAAGAGTCAATCTCCCATATCCAGACCTTCCGTGACTACTTTCACTACCACATCAAGGCAGCAAAGGCATATATGCACTCGCGAATGCGACGCCGTGTCGCAGACTTCCTCAAGGTCCTCAACAGGGCCAAGCCTGAAGTTGAGGAATCTGAGAAGAAAGAGAAGAAGACTGCTACTGGAAGAAGCTTCCGTGTCCAAGCTTAGTATTTAGCTTAATTTTTATGATTTGAGAGATGGAGATGAGGATAAAACTAGATTACTCAGCGTTCGCATTAGCATTCACTGGAAGCTTTGGTGGTATTTGATGTACAGATGATCGAGTGCTTTCCACACATGAAACTTGGGCCGCCAGAAATATAGAATCTTATTTGCCCCTTTTTAATGGGTGACATATCAGAGTCCCGGATCTGATCATGGTTGCGATTCTCTCCGGGCCTTTAAATATACGAGTGAGATATCATGACTAACCCCCGATAACCAGAGAAGCAACCTAGAGACGCATCAGCTCTTTGAAGCAAGACCCCTTCTCCCATCAGATAGTTATTTTAGGGAGTAAGAATTCCAATTACGACACTAATATTTCTCGCGTGGTTGTTATACCCCTCGAGTGGCGTTTCGTGGAATGGAATATCATTTTAGTCGTAGACATATTCCAATAGAAAGTTGTATACCACGAAAAACAGATAATTCAAAATCTCCTGAAATAGAAGGATTGGAGATCCCACAACCGAAAAGAATAGTCTTCCAAAACGCCAGAAAATTACATACCAAACGCCAGCTATTTACATGACAGAAATGCTACCCAGGAATCCTAGATAGCAAATGGTCCCATTTATCGGGTCTATACCTCTACCGGGGGTGGAATATCATCATATTCACTCCATTTCAACCAATTCCTAACATTCAAATCCTCCTTTCCCCTATCCCTCGGTGGCGGCACATCAGCAAACATGACCTCTGCTGGCAACCTAAAGCTAGCGCAATAATAACCTTTCTCCGGCCCAACCATTTTCACCAACTCTAGATGTTCCAGATCCTCAGGCCTAACCTTGTATCTTAAACCTCGACTAATCGCCCTACAGATGTGACGTTTCGTATTGTACATTGGTCCAGCCTTCTGGAAAATATACAGATGCACCAGTGGGAACTCCCTCTTAGGCAGGTTTTCGGCGTCAAAGAACTGGTTCTCAAGCCCATTGTAAGCGCCGATGAAACCTTCGAGAGAGGAGGTAGCTGTAGCTGGATTGTTCATAACAAAGTGGGAGAAGAATGGAGGGATTCTGAGATAAACAGGCGGGGGGTTGATTTCCTCCTCGGTTTTACCCGCTCTCCTGAGAATTTCCTGCACTCCTTCGGAATACTGGTGACTATAGACTTTAATTGGATTTCTGATCGCCGAAGGAGATCGGGAGAGCTTATAGAGGTTGCGAACAGAGGTGCGGATGAATTCAGTAGCCTCAAGCTTAAAAGGCTGAACAACTCCATGAACCTTTTAACGGCGGGGTGAGAAACAAATGTGGCAGGCGAGGAATTAACAAACGATTTACGCACCTTATTTATCATTATATTTTTTTTCAGGCTCTCAAACGCATCGGGATTGAAATCGTTCGCCCAAACGAGTATCCGATTCTTTGCTGCCGGGATCGCAAAAGGCCCTACTCCAGCCATGACATCCGCAACTGCTTCACCTGGTTTGAACATGTGAACAATACGTTGATGCTCATTTGCCAATCTGGAATTCCAATAGACCTTTGCAAAATCGAAGTGGAATTCACAGTTCCATTCGTTAACGACAACCTGTGTATCGGGGGACCCAGCGAGAAGTTCCATTGGAAATGTTCGAAACTCAGACCAAGACCCAACCGCCTCAATCTTGTTGACGACAGTCCTCACTTCTGGATTCTTGTCGAGAATTATGGCGCCGAGCATGTGTTTATAAGGAAGAAACTTGTTCTGAAGATTCAACTGTACAATATGTGCGACTCTAGTGGAGCTAGAAGGGCAGTCATTGACAAGTTCCTCTGGGAGAATTGCTTCTACTATCTCGTCTACCACATTTATAGTTATCAGAAGCGTTCTTGAGGAACAAATGCTGGGTGATGGACGCACTATATCCCCAATTCTCATATTTGAGATGCAGGTCGTGTGGGATCAATTCTAAAATTTGGCTTTTGACAAGATTTCTGGTGCTCTCACCAACTGTCGACAGGTCTAGGTGATGATCAGTCGAGAGTCAATATAGATATAAATCACAAGATGCATAAATCTCTCCTCCCATACCGTTATGCTTCACGTCTGGCTTTAATCTGACCAACATCCTCCTTTTCCCATCAGAATCTACCTCTGAGACGACGCTCTTGACCGAACGGGATCCCTTAAATATATCCTCAACGCATTCTTTCTGTACCCGTCCAACATTCTTTGGGTCGAATACATGCGCTGCTGTAATTTTAACGGTGTTTTGGAAGAAGGAACGATCCAGTGTGGTCATAGCACGGTTCACTGGAGGTAAGAAATAACGAGACATCTTGATTGACGAAGCGCTTCGCAAATACCATATAAACTACGAAGAAATTGATCAGCTGGAACAGATCATTGACACTTGGACAAAGAATAGGTGCGGAGCCGGAGATACATTATATCTTCTAGAAAAGTGACACTGGGTGAATATGAAACGTCTGAGCAAATCATGAAGCTCGAAACGGAAAATCTGCAGATGTGTGCCAAGGCGCCATGAGTGCCAAGGCGCTAACACGATAGGAAAACTTAAAATTGTTTGAACCCACCCCACGTACAACTGCACCAATTTGCTACCCATCTGATCTTGCTTCTTCACCTCACTACTAGTCAAAAAAAATGGGCAAATCTTTAAGAGCCAGTGAGTTCTCTCGACCTTACTATAATGATGATGCGATTGCGCTTCTAACATTCACACCTGTCTAGGTCGTATCAAGTCGAACAAGTCAAAACTTGCGGCTGCTGTCTTCCGCCCTGTGGAGGATGCGCGCACAGCTAGACTTTCGGCGAAACTCCTTGCGCTCGCAAACTCTGGAAAAGAGCCTATTCGTGGGCCTGGAGAGATGGAAGTTGAGGTCGAAACAAAAGGTATACTCGAAGTTTTCGATGCTGAAAATAGCTGGGTACTAACTGGCTGAATTACAGAGTCAGAGAAGCCCGAGGAACCTGCGCAAAAAGAAGGTATGTATATAACTTCTTATCTGGACCCCGGAGTTCGAACAAGATAATTTGAGGCAACGCTAACCCTCTCAAAGGTGCCATGGAAGTCGATGGTGAAAAGTTCACAGAACCATCAAAGAAAAAGATCAACGCGAGTAGAATTCGCCGACGTGGACGTCAATCGAGACATGCTGTTGTGTTCCCAGGTGTCCAGAAAGGAGGCAAAGGTGGGATCAGGTCAGGCGTTGGCCGAAGATCCAAGAGGACTTAGTTGACCTATGACTATATGCACAATGGGGTTGAGTCGAGAGTGCTTGTTTGCCTTCTCGGTGACTGACGGCTTCTTAATTTTCCTGGATTTGGGTGTTCATAGGTTTACTTCGTTCTTGCTCTCTAACTAGTTACATCAGTGGAGTCTTTTTTTTTTCTTTTTTTCTTTTTTCAATCCTCATCTTTCTCTCTCGTTTGTATATATTTGTATGTGATAGATCCACCATCTGCAACAACTTAATATCCACCGTGATCGATTCATAAACCATCGTCCGTATAACCTTAACTCTCAAAATAACATCCTAACAGTATCCACTCATCCGCATATCTTACAACCACGGTTCTTGAAGAGCCCGCCCAACAGTTAATCTATCATTTGGGTAGGGCTTCATCAACTTGGTGATAAATTCTCTTGCTCCAGGGCTTGCACCGACATCAACCAGTCTCTTTTCCGGGAATTTCCCTGTCATAACGTAGCGGTGAAGCCCATTTCCATCCGGGAAGGGCGTATCTCGTGTGAGGATATCATACAATACGCAACCTAGTGACCGATATCGACAGCACTGGTATAGACAGATGTTTCGTTCGAGATAAATCCCTGTATTTCAGGTGCCATATAGTTGCGGGTTCCAACCTCCGTCCGCAGTTCCGTATGGCCGTCTATTACTTGTTTCGTGACACCGAAATCGGCAATTTTGATCTTGATAGGGGACCATGAAACCACAAGAATGTTTTGTGTTTATTTATTATCAGCGGATATGATCCAAGCTTAAAAAAGTTATCCTGTGGGTTCTCAACATATGATTTTAAATCTCGGTGACAAAAGCCTTTGCCGTGCATTACTTGAAGCCCACGAAGTAACTGCTTTATGATTACCTTCTGTCAACTGTCAATACACTAGCCTACGGGTCATCACCCCACAAACATCATGCAGTCATAATCCGCAGTGATAATACTGACCGCTTCAGTCCGCATATATTATTACTCCACTGTCCTTAGCGCCTAGTTGAGTATTCAGGCAAACCCACACACTGAATCCGTTGTAAGACAAAAGCTGGCGCCAACACAGAGTCTCAGTGGCCTATCATATCCGATGAGACTATTAGCGCCGCGCAAAGGACGGCAAGGTGATGCAGAAATAAGATTCCTTATCTCGTAAGAGCTGCGTGTATGGTTAGAAGCCAAAAAATGCGTGGAACTAGTCTTCACTCTATCTACCAGTTTAGTGACCTGTAATACCGCTAGCATAGGCAAAGTAGTGCCTGGGTATGATGTGAAATTGGGAGATTATCAGATACGAAATCGTTATAGTTTACAGAATAAGCACCACTAAAGGGGACTTCTCAGAGGGTCACAGTGCTACACCCAAGACTACAGAGGTTTTTTGGCCCACGAAGTTTGAGAGGATAATACTCAAATTTCACTAAGGAATGGCGTAGAGGTTGTGGAGAGGGATGTCGGAGGACGTATAGTACTTCGATTTGTAGTCCTTTAAGGTCTCCAGGGTGTCGCATTCATGCTCGAGTCCCGGCACATACTCAACATCGGGTTACATACTTGGTCAGATACTAATGCCGTTAGATACGTCTGGAGCAATATAGTGGAGTATGATACTCCATACATTTAGTAGAGGAGAAGAAATGCGAGCCCTACGTACTACCCCGAAGCCCTAGTATACAGATTCTGGCCCGTACTTTCTCTATAGTCTTCCATAACTCTTTTTTTCTCCTCACCGGCCACGTACCTGACTGTTGACCATTCGTGCTGTGGGTAGTATCTAACTGACAGTATCTAACTCAGTAGTATTGCCGGAACTTGAATTCATGCTGCTCAGGAACGGAGCAAACATTAAGGGAAAAATCTTCCGAAGAGATTTCCACCATTGAGGTTTGTAGTTCTCCAAGGTTATGAGGATTCTGTGAAGCTTTTGTGAGGGAAGAGCGCAGAGACGACAGAGATTGGCCATCGTCCGCGGCCGGTCCGCTACAGTGTCGATACGCTTTCGATCCTAACACTAGCGTTATTTTTAAAGTATACGTGTATATATAGTAATGTACATACATGTGTTCATTCCATCCACTTCGCCGATAGTACAAAGTCTTTAAAGCAACAAAAGATTTATAATCATGAAATATCACTCGCAGTCATGTGAGCTATCCAAAAATCGTCTAACGCCATTCTAGAAACTAATGTCCCAGTAGATGTCTCTCTTTAATATATAGTTTCTGTTTTTAGATACTCCATTGAGGGTGCTGGTTTAGCAAGATGGTTCTATTAGGCTGGCTGTGTGGGGTGGGGAGTAGAAGGGGATTTATGGCACGAAGAACTATGTGCGTGACCCCCCAGAAATTACCAGCTATTTAGAGTCAGAGAGAGCGATGTATTGGATACATTATAAGACAGTACACTAACGTAGAGGGAGCCAATGGCAAGTAGAATGAAGAGTTAACTCTAAGTCGCTAAGTGACAGGTAAATTCCTATATCAGCTTTTATTCCGCAAATACTTCCTTTAGATGTGTTGAATACATTTCCGTGACGAACGGGGCTAGGCAATGATTCCTTGATTACTACATGTTCATATCTTCACTCACTCTATCGAGTGATCTTACATGATTGTAATTCCTACTTTACAGCAATCCCCTTACAACATATTATTGAAATCCTGACGAGACAGAAGGTTAGTTTAACCTCGTAACATTTATTGCGAGAAGAAAGTGAATTTCAGATCTCCAGGGGACATCTACATACTCTCAGACATCGTTGTTCCCTGTATTCCCTGCATAACTACGTACCAAGCTTTATGCCTACCTGCCATACACCCAGAGTCAGGACCAATGACTTCAAGAGCAATGACCTGTAGTCATAAGGTCTAGGGTCAACGGCAGCCACTGTAGTAAGGATTAACAATAATCGGCTATCACTCCGCTGCCAGACATAATACACGGCCGGGTATCTTTCTTTTCAGGATAACTACATTACCGCCTTTACCCCATAAGTTATAAGCCTTATTTTGAGCTCTAAGACGCAGAAAAGCCTTAAATAAGGCATATGTCTCAAAAAAGCAAAAAATAAGCCTGTTTTGGGCGAAAGCATGACATTTTGCTCAGCATTATCTCTAAATCAAGCTCTTCTAAGACCTCTTCTGGTATTAGATTTATCGAATAAATAAGAATTAGTAAAATCGGTCAGGATTATAGGCATTTACGGGTGCTAAGGCTGGGTTAGGGTTAGGCACTTAGCAAATATTAAACCGTGTTCTTCCATCTGTTCTTTAATACCCTCCCCTCTACCTCTCTACCATCTCCGCCCCCTCTACTCTCCTAGCACCACCCCCCCCTCCCCAAATCAAAAACATAGGCTAATCAGCGAATCTAGCAGCAGCAGCAGCACCGAACCAAGCACCAAATCGAGCATCAAATAGAGCAGCAAATCGAGCATCAAATCGAGCACCAAATACAGCACCAAATACAGCACCGAATGCAGCACCAAATCGAGCACCAAATCCACCTAATTGAGCGAAATAGGTCGATAGGTCGATAGGCAGGTAGGCAGGTAGGTGGGTTAAATAGATTGTCTTAAAACCATAGTCTAATAAGGACCTTAAAAAGAAATAAGAGAAAATTATCAAAGAAGGCGAATATCATGCTTATATAAGCCTAAAATAAGGCATAAAAAAAATACCCCTCTAGGCGGTAAAGTAATCAATTAGTTTCCAAATTTGTTTATTCCATATTCCGCGTTGTTTCTTGGGCTGCAGATACCGCTCTGATCACTAATTAGCTATACCCGCATACCTGTCCACCCGCCCACCTACATAACCTCGCCCGGAACACTCCGAGATCCTGCAAGGTATCCATGGGTGCGATGTCTCGCTTCCACTCTTACCCCCAGCTGTAGTTCTCGAATCTCCAGCCAACCACAGTCAGATCGGACTATAGCCCGCATACTCTCGTATGATTTTCGTGTTGTATGCATACACGTCGGAGGGGTACTTGCTTCAGCGGTTTTCGTGTAGTTATGCACGTGGTATGTACATGTGCATACTTTAAACCCACGCTGTCGGGCCAAAAGTGCCGAAGTGCACCGTTCGAGAAGATGGCCCGTAGGTGTGAGGGGCCTGTACATTGGTGGATAAGCAAGCCTTATCGCACTTTCCCGGACATATTGGTATGGTCGTGGTGGAGGTTTGGTATGCCCTACATGGTATTGATAAGGTAAAAAGAGTTGATGGATGGATGGGCGGATAGGATGGGAGGGCGAGAGGATAGTTGGAGAGGATGGTTTGGTATGAGTAGATCAGGTTTAGAATGGAACTGGGTAACAGATGCTGTGACAGGTGGTGTGGTTTCTGTTTGTATATTGACAACAACATGCATCGGCGAGGGTCGACGGGAATGGGTGTGTATTTTCATAAAGTATCACTCGGGCCTTAGCGCACCCCACGCCAAAAGTTGGCGAGTTTCACAGGCTATCACTCGCCCTTGGCTACTATTTCATTTCCTATCAGAGTACCGAATTTTTTTTAAAAAAAAGCTAAGCTAGTTCGACATCATTCAACCTCGAAAATCCACCCTCCGGCGGCTGCAACCAATTCCTCTCGTCGTACGGATACTCTCCCTCAATAACCTACATGCAAACACACATATCAGCCCCACCTACCCTACAGCGACCAAAAGTGGAGGAAGAAAAAGGAACACAACTTACATGGAAAGTATAAATCCACCTCGAATTGGGGCTCAGATTCTTTTCGCTTTGATGCAGAACATTCCCATGAATCAAAACCAAACTGCCCTTCTTTACTGGTCCCAATACAAATCCGTCGCCCTCGCCCTCCCTTTCCACGCCCCCCTTCTCCCGGACTCCATTCGCCTGTCCCTCCTTCAAGTCCTCAAATCCCGTTCCACCCTCCGGTAGCCTCACTAGTCGCTTCTTGATCGGCGCCCACTTATGACTCCCCGGCACAAAACTCAAGCAACCATTCTCCGGTGTCGTGTCCTCGAGCGCATACCAGAATCCGATGGCGCTCGGCGGATCAGTGTATAAGAACGTCGAGTCTTGGTGGGACAACACCGCGCCGCCAATCTCTGGCTGCTTGCAAATAATCATGGACTGCATGACATTGGGATCGCGGAAGCCGAGGGACTTTGCGATCGACCGGTTGAGCGGTGTCATTGTCATCTTTGCGAATAGGGGGGAGTTTGTGTGTAGGGCATGACCAATCTTGTTGATAGCTTTGGCTTTGGGCTTGATGAGTTCGCCGGCGGAGGAGAAGGCACCTACGACGGGTGTTAACTAACTGTTGAGGAGCGAAGATGGTGGGTGGGGTGGCAAACCTTTTTCGAAGAAAAAACGCACTTTGTCGTTGCTGTTGAGGAAGTAGTCATCGCCAATGTGCTTGTCGCCGTCGCCAGTGGTGAACTTCGTCATGGGGTGGCCCTCCAGTGGGAACTCTACAATCAAAGGTTATACGTTAAACCATGCGGAGAAGGTAGAGCTTAAAGATAGCTATCCCAACTAACCATTCAGAAGCTTCGCCGTCTCATCCACAAGCTCCTTCACCACTTCTTGTGATATCGCATCTGGGATGATTAGGTATCCATTCTCCTCCCAAAAGGACAGCTGCTCCGAGGTGAGGCCGGTTATGGTCATTATGCTAGAGTTTAAGCTGAGAGAGAGAACGACTTGTGAGGTACGACAGCTAATAGAGAAAAAGGTGGGGTGGTGGGGATATCCGTCGGATTAATATCGATTGTCGCATGACCAGATGCCCCGGCTTGGCGCGGGCGGCTCCCTGTACCGAGGGAGATACCCGATGAGTGCTTCGGCAGCTTCCGATACTTCCTTGCGGTAGCAAAGACGACGGGAGATGGTTTTCGGAGGATTAAAGTTGTATTGAACTGCGCCTGGGATTGTTTGGGCGCGAAAAATAAACTGGTTTGATTGACGAGTGATTTTTGATGATAGAGGGGGATCACTATGAGGGTTAACTAGGGCTCCCTATCCAAGCGAACTTGGAACCTCCATAGTTTGGAATCTCTGTGATTTTCAAGGACTTGGAATGGCTATGGTCGAAGTCAGGACTAGCAAGAAAACTGCGACACTCTTAGTTTTGAAACCTGTGATAGTTAGCTATCAGCCCAATATATAACACAAGGAACAAAAATACCTGAGTAAACATAAGTACGTCCATGGCCATAGAAGCATCAAAACTTTTATTTTACCAATTCCCGTCAAGACGATAACACTGTGAAGGAAAGAATCAAGAACCCCAGCAAGCACTTAAACCCACACAAACATATATTACCATTAGACCACCATTGCATAAATGGAAAGTAATGTATATTTAAGAGCCTGGCATCTTAAATATTACTCCCTTACGAGTGTCTCTCCTTTTCAAATACGGAAATCAATAGCGTCGATATCTGTTGATTGTAGGGGCCGGAGTGGTTAAAAATATAATCCGCTGTTGTAATTGTGGATACAGCCGTGGACGTTGAAAAACAATGATTTCTCCTCGGCTATTTACCCCATATCATTGTGAGATATAACTGTCATTTCAAGGATGGCAATCACTGACCTGAGCTGACACCAGTGTAGAATGATTCCCCAAACCGAGACCACTGTCAAATTGAAGCTGGAAGCTGCAGCGAAGTGTATTTCCCAGATAATCGGTGCTCCCTCCATAGTCCAATTGATTTCTACCTCATAGAGTCCAAATTTCCAGTAAGAGTGACGAGGGTGGGAGGATTAGCTAGATCGTCGGTTTAGATCATACCAGATCACTCGACTATCAACTGCCTCCCCAGTGTAAGAGCAGGCAGTAGTAATAGTCCCGCGTATATGTAGCCAACAAGATGTGTTGATAGTGAAGGAAATATCACATAACTTTATGGCTCCAAGCGGGTGGTAGGCCTGAGGGGGAGCGGAGGGATAAGCTTGTTTGCAGCCCAGCGAAACAAAAGAAAGAAAGAAAGAAAGAAATTAAAGAGAAATAGCGTAGGAAGTAGAAAGAGGAAGTAATTTTTTGGAAAAAGAAAGATTAAAAGGGGCAAAAAGAGAAACTTTTGAAAGGGGAGGGGAAACGCCTTCAAACTCCAAACTCCATCAATATAGCACAATAAAGACTCAACTGGTTATCAGCTAGTTAGCTGATAACACAGGTCCATTTTTTTTTCTTTTGATCATCTGAGTTGTCGGTTTCCTCGGCTACCGCTTGTGCTTGTGCTTGTGCTTGCTTATGATTATCATCACACTCTTTCTCTGTTCCATCATCATTTTGTCAGTAACTTAAGCATCTAGTGATTTGCAGAGTAGCCAGTTACATACTTCCACAGCTACCGTTGCGATATCGCACCCCCAACGTCGTGTCAAATGGGCAGGCCACATTTGACAACTTGTACAATGTATCGTTTCCGCAGCTCACAATTGCATATGTTGTGTGGCCTAGGATTCATGCTATCAGGCAGTGTAGAGCAGCAAACGATAGGGAACAACATACCGCACGACCACAGAGTTGGTGTATGTCTGCACATCGGGGATGATATTAGATTGTATGTAAGTGTGAAAATGTATCAAGGAGGGAAATGGTTGGATTGGTAGAGTGAGGATTAGAATGTTTAAGTTTAACGCAGGATATTATTACTCATCAATAATGTCCCCGTGAACTACATGTAAGTAGAAAGTGTGAGAAGCGAGTGTACGTACTACAGCTATACATAATGTACAATGTAAAGTAGGGAAAGGGAAGGAACGAATGAATTCTAGCTAACAAAACATTAAACTCCAGCCTCTCACCAGATAGCAAACCCACAGTGAAGATATATACAACCTACAAAACCCTCAAAATAACAGAAACGCCGTCATCGCTACCCAGAGCTAAGATATAGACAGGAATAGAATAAACGGTAACCACTCTTATTAAAGAAAATAAACAATTTCTAAAGGGTAATGTCCTAAAATTCCCTTGTGTTGAAAAATAATCAAATGCCGTCCCAGAACCCCCCCAATATATGCTCTTCACCCGAGTCAACAATTTCCTTCTTGAGCTCTCTAGCCCTTTCTATAATTGCCTCCACACTGCGATTCTCTAACTCTGCGCGGTATCTATTTTTTATTCTGGAGAAGCGAGTTTCTGATCGATATAGCTTTGTTAGTAACCATTCAATTCCTGTAGGTACAGAGAAGATGCATACCAATTGCGCCCCCGTGAAATCTCGAGATGCCGTCGAGTAGGGCAAAGGTTTCTGAGTCTTCCCAATCGTGGTCTTCTAATACCTCCACTTCTCCCTCGTCTTTTTCTAATCTCTCTTCTCGTTCCCTTGCTTTTTTCTGTCGCTCTCCAAATCCTTCAACACGGACGATTTCTACGTCATCTTCGTCGATGATGATGGGGAGGACTTCTTCCACATCAGATTCTTCCTCCTGAGCCTCTTGCATTTCTTCCTCATTTTCATCTACCTGTTCCTCTACACCATCCCCTTCTCCCGTTTGCTCTTCATGGTAATGCGTCTTGTCTCCCTCGACCCCCTCTTCTACTCCCCCTCCCCTATGATCATTTACGACCTCTTGCTCATCTTCATCGTCATCGTCTCGTATGATAACAGTCTCCCGCGTCCCCTCTCCTGTTTCGTTTTCTGCTTCTTTTTTTCTCCGCCTTTCATCTCGATCCGTATGAAGGCTATCGTCCAATCGTCTTACCCTCTCTACAAGTTCAATCCTTCTCTTTTTCTGTATGCGGCTCTCCGGCCTTCCTTCCTCTTCGTATCCATCCTCTCCGGTCTTTCGCCTCTTTCTTCCTCGTTCGTCCGCGCTTTCAGGTGTGTTATATCCATAACCGCTCCCCTCTAAGTCGGCCAAGACGCTCTTTACCCTTCTCTGTGATGCCTTTCTCTTTTCATCGTTTTCTTCCTCTTCTCCTTGCTCTGTCACCAACCACGCCATATTCTTATATCCACGCTTCTTCATTGTCTTCCTAATGCCCGCACGGCATTTCTCGATATTCTTCCTCTGCGTGTTGTTGTGTTTCAGGAACCTATTAAAAATAAGCTCGAAGTCCTTGGTCTCCTGCTCGAAATACGCCAGCCTCAACATTGCCTCATCGAATACCCCCAGTTGGAATTTCTCCTCTTTGGATAACTGTGGGGCATCATTATTGATTATGACATGTGTCAGATCACTCAGCAAATTCAGGTAGCCCTTATCCTTGCCCGCGACTACGTGTTGGAGGGGCTTTAGGACTGCAAAGGCGGCGCTGAGGTCTTGCATGCGGCTTCGCACATTGGCAAGTGCTTGATCATACTGCTTCGTGCGGAGCGTGAAAAGGGTAAGGTCATCAATTTCTTGATCGTCCCCGGAGGGGCTGGTATCGGTATCAGAAGCTGGTTTGGGGGTGGGTGAGTCGTCATAGTCGAGGTAGGACTTGCGCTCGCGGCGCATCTGTCGGATCTTGGGAAAGTGTTTTCCTATATGGAATGGACTAACTTCACGTACGGGCGAGGAGTCTATGAGGGAGTCATCGGGCTCCGAGTCTTCATCGTGTGAAGCAGAATCAGAACCTTTCGATGGGGGTTCGACGGGAGAATTTACAGCAGCCCGGAGGATCTCATCCATCTCCTCTTGCTCCTGGGTTTCCTGTGCAGACAGCAAAGGCGGCAATGGGTCACCTCCCGGGGTGGATGGTATTCTCGGTGGTGATGAAGGTAGTGGTTGATCGCTGCTCTCTGGAACGTTTCTGCTCCTGCTCCGGGTCCGGGGTATGCTCTGTGCATCTCCTACAGACTGCGCTCTGCGAGATTTCCTTCCCTCAGATTTGCTTCGTGAAGCGATTTCTCCACCCCCTAGGGAGTGTGCTCTACGAGTAGAGACCTGGGATTCTTCTACTTCTTCTTCCTCCGTCTCAGATTCCTCGGCATTTCTCTGTAGTGATGCTGGAAACGGCCCATTGGAGAGCACAATAACCTCTTGCGTCTCCATCCTCGGAAGATTCCTTTTACCGGAGGTCCTCTTCTTCTTTCCCCCGGGCTTCCTCCCCATTGCAGGCGCCACGTTATCTTTCTCGGGAGCTCTCTCATCTGCACTATCGACAGGCTCTGGAGACGCGCGTGACTTCCTGTTGGCTGTTGGTGGTTTATTCCGAACCTTGGGTGGAATGGCTTCGAGAGTTGGATGCTCGGAGCGGGTAGATCTTTTGGGTGGCATCACGAATGGGGTTCTGAGGTTGGTGATGATGTAGGCACGTATGTAGGTATGTATGTGGAATTATGGGATGGGTGGTGATGGTGCGTGACCGCGTATCTGTCGTCGTGTCTTGATGGATGGTATTGGATAGCTGACCGGAGATTTTTTTTTTGTTGAGGGTCTTCGGGGCGTATGATTGGATTAGATTGTAGATCTTACTATCAGACTTCTCGGGAGCTCATAATCGTTTACAATTCAAATAATTCGTGTTCAAATCCTCGGGATGAGCTGACAGCAGCTGGAAGATAGGGCAATGATCTTTTTTTATTTTTTGTTCTTTGTTGATACCCGCTTGGGCAGATAATCAGATGAGACACCTTTCCTGCACAGATTTCAAATGTCAAGAGATATGCGGTGTGTATGTTTTTTCTCCAATTCAATTGGTGGGAGTTGGCGTGAGAAGTCGTGATGTTTGTGTTTACATTTTCCCCATACCGGGATATGATCATCATCTAGCTCTTTCTTCACTTCACTTGGCAGACCAGATGAGCAATTCCGTCATCGATCACCAGACTCTGCACTTCCACAGAGCAGAGTATATCAACACCCAATGACCCTTCACCCTCCTTCTCAAACCTACATAATTCGTCCTGACCTACATAACACTCCACTACGGGCGATTCGTCGAGGAGAACTCTGCAAGTCCAAACACCTCTATGTCTACATACAAAAGAATCCTCACGATCAAGACCCTTTATGCAGATCCGCGCTAGAGTAATGATGCTGTGCAGCCGCGCGCGGTAAGAATCGAGGGTTCATGCGCAAAAGAAAAAGGACTGCTATTTTCTACGAAGACTACGAAAGAGAGAGAAGAAGAAAAAAGCAAGCAAGTCTCGTGGTGAGAAAGTCTCGTATGTATGTATGTTGGGCGGTATGGGACTCAATCAGTTCACTTCTTAGAGTTCTATGACCACACTCTACATGAGGAGTACAGTCATTTTTCACCCTTACACTACTCTTGCGTACTCTTGTTGGGCCCCAACTACATGTACTCTCTTCCTGCCGGCCTCAGAGTCAACAAAAGTAGGCAGTCACGATGCATTGCGAGGTAGCCGAACCAACCACTGCCACAGTATGTCGACCAAGGCCGGTTTGCAATACGACGCTGTGGGCCAATCCTTTGAGTACGAAACGCCTACCATACAGTCTATCTACTCTACTCTACCCTACCCCGCAAAAGAGGTTCATCTGGAGGGGGGTATCCAATGGCCGTATCTACAGCACCAGCAGAGGAGGACGCCGAAGGGGGGTACCTACTCTACTATGCTATGTACCCCCCACGCATGAATGAATGAGAAGTGGGCGAAGTAGAGTACCTACAGTGGCCCTACAGATGCAGGTTCTATGAGTCTCGAGTAAAGTGCTTTCTTCACTTATCTACTTTATGCTTTAGAGTAAGTGGAATGTCTGAGTGCATTTCCTTTTATTTACATACATGGTCTAGAGTACTCTCCATCCATCCACACAGAATCATACAGAGTCAGACAACTGACATCACCAGAAAGAACACACATGGCCAGGAAAAAAAAATTACACAGGTCGCGCGCGCGACGAAGAAGGCTTCTGCTTCAAATTCAGACTGGCAAAAAGATACCAGCTGCAGCCCAGATGATAGGCACCCACATACATAGATCCTAACAACGTGGTATGAACAAAGAATAACAAAAAGAGCACCGTTTAACACGGTGCTAAGAATAATAAAATAATATAATAATAGTAATAAATAGGTCCCAATAAGAAAAGAATAAAACGCCGCACTAATAAATAGATCCAAGAACCCCCCGAGTAAAAAGAAGATAAATATATATGAAATTTGGTAGGTTGTACCAAGGCTCCCTGGTCAGCTCAATCCTGCCCGTCCTCGCCCGCCCGCCAGTATCGACACAGTTATATATAAAAAGACAAAAGAAAATATGTAGGTTTACTCGAAGAGAGTAAAAAGTGGAGACGCCATGCAGTCAGTCCGTCTACCAATGATCTCGCAAAAAACGCCCCTGCCAGAAGAAAAAGTCCAAAAATACAAATGCAGGAAAAGAAGACATTAAAAAGAAGAAACCCATCGCGCGCTAATCCGGTCCCAACCCAATCCAGAAAGAAAGAAAAAAGAAAACTCGTGGTTCGCGTCGCATCATTAATCGTTACAATCTATCTAGCGCAGAAAAAAATAACAAGAAGGGAGAAAAAGGTATCAAAAAAGGCTTCAATGAGTTATCGCGGATCGAATGCCAACCCGGGTTTTCATCAAAGTATGGAGGTGGTGAATGTACAGCTGGTGAGGTCACCGATGGGAAGAGGGTGGGGTGAGAGTATTTGATTTGCGTGAGGGTGAGAGGTTTTTGGGGATATCGATATCGATTTGGAGCGTCGGTATCGAATTGGAGGATTTACAGTTCCGTCGATTCAATCGACAGGAATTGAAGGCATGACATCAAGTCCAAGTCCTTAAATCAGGGCGAAGGAGCCTTTACAAACGTTAGTATAGTTCATAAAATCTCGGATATATCAACAAACAACTTACGTTTCAATCACTCGCACGAAACCCGTTTTTCCAAATTTTTCTCAATTCAAAGCTTCGACTTGAACACCTTTCCCCACCACCCTCCGATCCAGCTATCCCCCCTCTGCAAGTTCCCTGGGCGCGGCTCTCCGTCTGAGCCTACAGAGTTGACTGAGTCCCTCCTGTTTCCCGACTTGTCGTGGTGACCATGTCCCTCGTCTGATGAGTCCTCCTCCTCGTCGTCGTCGACGTTTACAAAGTGAGGCTCGGGGAAGAAAACCCAGTTGTTGTCAAGACCTTCCTGTAGCGTGAATTTGCTCGGTCGGTTTGGTGAGTACATTTGTGAAGGCTCTGCTGAGGCAGGATGTTGCCACGGTGCTCCTTTTGCTGACATTGTGTTTTAATGGTAGTATAGTTGTTATATAACTTTGATGATATAATAGTACTTTGGTTGAGTAGTAGTAGCAATAGTAGTAGCGGTAGTAGTAGTAGTGATGGTACTAGTAGCAACTAATTTTCGAACAATAATTTCAAGGTTTGATGTTTTGCTAGATCGAAAAAAAAAAAAGGTCCAAAGGATGCGGGGGGATGTGAGGGATGTTTATACTTCTTGCCATAAGCCATGTCCCCCCCATCCACAATTTGAACCTTTTGTGCTGCAAGGAACCGGGTCGTGGCGCGTTACGTGTCGATCTGGTGAGTGGACAGCTTTAAATGGTAAGTAATTCTGCAGCCGCTGCACAAGACAAGACAAGGTCTCAGACACACACACCCACGCACACAAATTCGAATTCACAAACATGACCCTCCCTATGCAACTACCATTCTCTACAGGAGGTGGTGAGGGTGGTGGGCATGGGAGGGGTTAGAGCCTACTCTAGAGGACTCTAGGTTACTGTTACTCACCCCTAGGACCGACAGGCCGACCCGGAGCATTGACGAGTAAATGTGAAAGCATGAAAAAACCTACAGAAAAAATATATAACAAGTTGACAACACCTAGTGTGCCATGCAGGTAACGACTCACTTGGAAGGCAAATCCGATTACTAGTAGGTTATGTAGAGTATGAGACTTTAGGGAGGAGCATATATGTAGGCAGTCCAATCCAAACAGATGTCTGCAGCTCCGTCCTAGCCTATCCCATGCAATTAATTTCTGTCGGAAAACTTTTTGCTGACACCTTTGAGTGGTGTAGGTACTCTACTCTGCTCTAGGTACGCCCGAGTCTCCCCACTACGAGAAATTCGAGACGGAGGAGCATCCCCCCCATCGTATTACAATCCTTCATCACAACAGCTAGAGTAGATGACCAGGAGAAAGGGAGTTGTGTATATAGATATTCGGATTTCGGGTACTGCTGCCTTAGACAAGTCGATATTATGCCATCATCATTCATCACCCCCGCCTTGGTCCACCCAGTAATACGAAAAAAAAACGGGGAAAGTCGTTGTTTCTTTTGTTTTTACTTTTACCGAGTAATCCTTCTACTCCTCTCTACATACGGCGACTTCTTCTGCTGTCGGAGGGATAACCTGCCACAAAAAACCAAACCACAACAAACATCCCTTCCTCACAAAGTGACACATGATTTTGGTTTGCTAGCTGGCTGGTAGGCTGGCGGGCCCAACGACCCAACGAGCCAATAGCAGCCTGCCGCGTGCTTCGTCGCTGTGAGGCCCCCTCTTTCGGATTCTGGGTGGAGGTGATGGATTTGGCCGTGGTGGTAGTTTGTGCGGCTTAAAAGCTTGGCTAGTATGGATTTCTACATATTGGAGAATTGAGGAGTTCCCTTGTGATCTCCCTCTGAATCCCTAACCACCCCGCAGCGAAACAAATATTTCCATCCTGCGGCGGAATAGTCGGGACCCGGGAAAACCGAACCTAGCCGTTGACTTTTACCTGGGAGTTTGTGGAACGTCGGAGCAGTTAGCTTCTCGGTGGTACATACCCGTCGTGTGTGTATGTAGGTGCTCTATCTACGTACTCTACGGTTCTGTGATTCCTGGCACTGCTTTGCTGCGTTGTGCTTATGAGGTGGTACTTGGAACTGCCTGAATGACCTTTTGCTTCAGGGTCCGGCTAGCGCTACCTAGCGCAATACTCCACTTAGCAAGGGAGAAAAGAAGAAAGAGGGTGGCTGAGGCTGATGTAAGTAAAAGTGAGATGTTTATGCACCTTACTCGACTCTAGAATACCCTACCCAGAGTACTAACCCCGATTCCTAAGCAAGCATAAAACATTATGCGAGCAACAACGAGAACGCGAAGTGGGCTTGTGGGAAGCACCTGGAGGATCAACGAGCGAACGAAACAGAGGTGGCGGTAAAACAAGGAGACGAGATCAATCAGATCTGAAATGCGGCGCGCACAGTCCTTCTCCTCAGTCTGACAGAAATAGAAACAAAACCCCCAACCCAGACCCATCCAGACATCTCCAGAGAGGGCCAGGGTAGAAACAAAATTCCATGCTTGAATAATAGAATCAAATGAATAAATGCGTGAGGCTGTGGATTTGAGGCACTTTGGCAAACAGGATATTGATAGCTATCGATCATGGAATTTGATAGGGTGGCCATGGTATGGGATGGGTACACAAATAGGATTACTCGTAGAACAATGCCAGCGGGCCGCCCGCGCCCGACGAGGATTTCGGCCGATGTGGCGATTGTTTGTCATGCTTCTTCCAAGTGTCCGTGCCTGCCTTGGTTTGCGGCGATTTATTACCCGGCCGGCTTGGGCCTGTATGGAAGGTTTCTAATAACGTCCTTCTCGGTTTCAAAGCTTCCTTCCATTCTACTTCTAGCACCAACCACAGCCTTCGATTCAACTGTATGAGCCATATTGTAAATACTTCGCCTGCCTACCAGCGTTGCTGCAAGCAGGAACAAGTCACGATATTCTGAGTAAGTACATAAAGTAACGTGAAAACAGACTGCAGTTTGTTATGCGCCAGCTGGAAGAATTGGATAAAGGCTTAACTCATTCATTCGGACCACGCTTTCCTTGGCATGATCTCAAGTTCATCGGGGGGAAGCCCTTGGGTGCTAAAAGGAACGAAAAATTTGATTCCGTCGATCAGATTCAGATTCAGATGTAGAGTACCTACATAAGCTTAAATTGGGCGGTTTTTTTTCCTCGGCTAGTCAGAGCACGGGCCGGCCGGTGGATGAATCGATGACAGTTTCTTATTTTCAAGATTTGGATTGGGATATGAATTGGGATTCGATGGGTTGTGGTTGCTGTGCTGTTGGGTGGCATGGGAAAGGAGCTGAATGTCAAATGTCCATGTGTGCGCTGGTTGCTGCATGGCGCGTCACTCGGATGAGGGGGCTTGCGGGTCACGGAGCATCACTCACACCCACCCCACGCTAGGACCGCTGGGAAGTCTCTGGAACGTAGGTGAAGCAGCTATATCGCTGTGCTACATACTTGTAGCTTCCCCTGGGCTCTACTGTGTTTTGTATTTTTGCCGTAAAAAAGAATGCGTAGCACACTAGAGTACGTAGGGCCCTCCCGCGCTTGGCACTTTCGAGCTCTCTGGATCTGCATGTTTGTGACCCTCATCTTCAAAAGCTTCGACCAGCCACTCTTCGCCTCTTTTCTCCACCAGCCACAACGACAAGGCCGACGAATATGGGACCCCATGGCATTTCCTTCGCGTATCATCTGCGCCGAACTACTCGCAGTCCTCTTTATGTCCAGCCACTTTGTTGGGGCGCTATGCATCTCAAACTACTGAGGGTTGCTATCGAAACGAATCCAGAACAACAATCGCTAGCGCAAAAGCGTAGCTCAGAACTTCCAATTGAGACGTCTGTAAACCCCACTTCGCTGCAAGAGTGCTGGGCCACGGGTACAAGCGATAAGTTTTGCGAGGGCGACCTCCTACCAGACATCATCAAGGACATTCTCAAGAGTATCGATAAGGATAATGGGATGTCGACAACTCTTGTGCAAGGATTGGGTTTCGCTCACAGTCCACGATTATCATTCACGTTTTCCAACTCCGTTACAGAGCTTACGCCGGAGATTGTTGTCACTACAGCTACGACAAAGCTGCCATTCTTACTGTATAGTACTCGTCGCCATACAACTCGTGTGCGAAAAGAGCTCTCACTCGGCCGATGTGGTGGTTCTGCGGTAAAGAAGTTGTTAAGAAATACGGCGGCGACGAAATGGCACACGAACCTAGATCCGTTCGATGTAGCCTGCCTGATTGCAATGGCACAAGAGCAGAGGTCTAGAATAAGAGGATTTGCTGGGGGATGGGGCACCGACAGCATGGTCTACACTGTATGTTTGTCCTTCTGCTTGTTTGGACTAAATTCCCATTGACCTAACCTTCCGCCTGGTATCTCTTGATATACTAACATCTCTGTATTTTAACAGGTTTACCTAATAATCCCCAACAACCGCCAATCCCTCCATTTGTTCACCGCTCGTATTCCGACCTCATACCTAGATGCTCTGGGGAATATTGAGATCGAGGTCACAGATCACCTCCACATCACTCGCGAGACTATTCCCGTCCCTTCTGGATCCGCCACACAAACCAGTAACATACTAGTCGACCGGATCAGCGAGATGGTGGAGCTGGTGTACGCGCACCAGGTGTTAGCCCCTCAGGAAACCTATGTTCAAGACGAGTGGGACCTGGGAAATGAAGATACCCCACATTCCGACGAGGCCGGTCTATGGGGCGAGGACGACAATTAGCTGGGTTAGGGTTGTAAGCATCAACGAAGTTACACAGAATTGGTCTCTGTGAATGAGAGTTATTGCAGGAATTTGGAGGCTTGGCATTGATGTTCAAGTAAATTTAGATCAAGGTAAGCTTTCCCCGCCGCCGCCGCACCTCCGCCTCACTGGACTACCTACTGCTAACCCCTACTAATTTAATGCGGAGTAGGCAGGTCAATAATACGTGTAAACAAGAATAAACTTCCGATCACTTACCGAGTATTCGCCTGCAACGGCTGTTTCAGATTTATTTAAAAACAGAAAATACACTCCCTCCTGACCTAGCTCCCTGGATCGCGTGATCTTCTGGGCGGAGTAACTTACGGTATTAATATGTAGTACTGTGCATTAATACAGGCGAGTGATGCTATGTGATGAGACAAGACAACCAAACAGAGCTGCCTGCCTGCCAACCAGCGCTCAATTACGCAAGGCGCTTAGAACAAAAAGCATTCGCAACTACCGCACTCGCAGCCACAAAAGAAACTTCCATTGGGTAGGGTAGCACAAATGCCATCCTACACACCCACCAGTCTACCTAGAGTAGGTGCTCTACACACATAAGGTAACTCAAGGGAATTAACAGAAGAGAGATGGCTGGTCGTCGGGATCGTCCGAGCCGGGAGAAACAGAAGAACACCGTTCTCCCTCATGGATCTCGATTGCGACGTTCATATCAGAATCAAGTTATTACCAATTGCATGAACATATTGGGACGAAAGAAAAAAATAAACGGGTGGTCCCGTGGTCTTCCAACCTCCTGCGGAGGTGGGAGACGTGTTCGTACGCTCGACGTGATCAATTCAACACGAAGCGGAGGATCTTCCGGCGCGGGCTCGGAGTTCGGGCTCGGGTTGGATGGGCAATAATATAACATACATGAGCAGCTTTCGACCCCTTACATATGTATATTACATCATTCATGTTGAAGATCAAAACATTAATATGTGATATTCGGAGGTTTTTAACTCGCGTCTGAAAGGTGGGGGGAATTCTAACGCTAACCCAACATAAGTTCAACTGCAGAAAGCGAATATTCAATTTCCCTATGGGATTTTGATATTCCAGACGGTTATATCCGCAGGCCGGCGGGCGGGCAGGAGTACATTTACGCTCCACCCAGTGTTTCTCCATACCATGAGGTTGAGATTGAAGGAGGTGAGGGTCCGAGCTCAACGCCACCGGCACCACCAAACATCAAGCCTCGCGTTACCTATCAATTCACAAAGTTGCTTACTTTCCAGTGTTTTGCTGTTTCGTGGATGATTGTGATGACAGCACCGTTCATCATAGACGTGGCAGAAACTGTAACGCCTGAGGTGTACTGACCAATTGACGGACGGCTCAACAAAACTAGGGGAGAAATTGCTTCACAATTGTTGGATAGTTTGAAACTTGTTCAGGGGTTGCTTCAGATAAGTGCGGAGTAGTGGATTGAATAATGCAGGCAGAGATATCAGGGCGGGTACCGGATTGGATCATGTGGTATCACTCGAGTGTGGCAAATGCTTGGTCGGAAAGGAGGGACATTGCAATGGATGACATACTGGATATGGAAATAACATATTATTTTTTGTAAGATTTCACCCGGATGCTCCACTACCGGGCCTTTACTCTCTTCTCCCCTCTTTCATCCTCGACCTGGCTGCTGTGGGTTCGTTTGGCACTCTCAACTAGTGCCCAGCCCCTAACCTTCTCCAAAGCGCCCTTTAGTATTTTCTTCTCGCCCAATCGAACCTCAATTGCAATTCTCTTCCTGCCTTGCGTACTCTCGTCGCGTAGGATGTATTCATCGTCCTCAATTGTGGTACCATATTCACCTAGTCGCTTCTCCAGGATCTCTTCCAGGACCTTTGCAACCTCAGGCGTCTTTTTGGGCTTTGCGACTTTTCCTTTCCCCTTGAATACTGAGAATTCACCCTTTGTAAGCAAGAAATTGGCAATGACTGCCAAAATCTCTTCTGGGATCTCCAGATCGGTGCCAATGTCAAAGGCGTCGTCAAGAATGTCCTCGTCCAGTAGATAGTCTATCCGCTCCGTCTTATCGCTCCCATCAAGCGCTTTCCCCGCAATTCCTACAATCAGCCCAGATGAAACTTCCGCTACATCGTATTGTGCATAATTGGGCGTGATGTAACCATATCTTCGGAGGAGGTCGGAGCGCGGGAGCGGGCCATAATCGTTAAAGAGCTCATCGCCCGCAGGGACTGCGCGGGTTGTGCGCATCTCTAGCACCGTCGGCGTTTGGAAGAGGCGACACTGTCAATGATTGGTCAATCGGTCTATCCTATCAATTGAGTCGCAGGAATCCTTTTTTCGCGGGGTAGATAACACAAACATTATTTCGGTCGGCGTCAGCGTTTAGCATGTCGGCCATTGGGACCATTCCCTTGTAGAACTTTCCCTCCTCCTCCTCATCATCGGAGTCGGAGTCTTCATCGGGGCTTTTTCTCTCTCCGACGACTTCCAGGTCGAATGAATAGCTCATGATAATGCTCCCCATTCTGTGTGCTGCGTCGAGTAAGCTGTCGATCGCATCGATTGCGAGCCCTGGCGCAATAATGGTGTGGGAAAACATTCCAGCATGTTTCTATTTACTTGGTTAGTATTGTAGAAGGCAAAAAAATAAAATCCGACCAAGCCACGTGTGGGGTGGGGGGAAGACTGACTTTGACAATGGGCCACAATTTGTCGCGAAACAATTCGTCGGCGTCCTGTTTCCCGATTTTCGCCACCACGGCGCTGGCTTGGAGCTCTGCGAGCTCGTCGTTGGTCCAGTACATGAGCGTATTAAACGACGCCGGGAGGACGTCGATGTATGGTCGCCATGGCGAGGACGGCCTTGTCTCGTAGATGAGAACCAAGATGAGTGCCTAAAACAGGAATTGTTTAGCCTCAGTTTTTTCAAGAAGTTTTTTCGTGTTACCAACCAGCCATGGATCTAGTGAAGTCAATTCTTCGCCCAGTTTTTGATGTAGCTCTGAGTTTTCCACCGATAGCACGCTGGATCTCGGGACTGAAAATATAGTCTCGTCTTCGTCGAGTGGAGCGGTCGCAACTGTCAAGTGTCAATCCTCCGAGCGCGCAGGAAAAAAAGTTGGAACAAAAACGCACCAACGCCTCTCCCGGCGGATGAAGCGCGCAGATCTGTCAACCCAATCTTCGGGTTCAAAATGACATTGCTCGGAGAGCCCGTGAGCCAGGAAGTGAAGGCGTTGTTGAGCTCGACAAATTGGTCGTCCAGGTCCATCTTCATTTTTTTGCTGTCGTTGGTTGTATGATAGCTTTGGAGGTATGTACTTCGAGTCGTCAGGTACAATAAAAGCTGTTATGTAACTGTAAATGATAATAATAACACCCCTAACCCTAGCCCGAATTAGACTCCATGAGGTTCCTTTGGTGGTTAGATCGACTCAAGTGTTTAATTAAGCCATAGATCTACTATATATAGTAGCGGTCGTCCGTAGATTACCACGATTGCTCGAATAGTGGTATGTACTGACCGGTGATGGATCAATTGATCAATACAATAGTACATATAGCTGAAGCAAAATTTCAATGTTTTAGGGCCCAAATAGAGATCCCCAATATGACCAGATCTTAGGAGCCATTTAGTCATGTCAGAGTTTTAGATTATAGTTCGTATTAAATTGACTGATTCAAGTCTCACTTCATTTATCACACATATTAGTACTACAGAACACTGCCTCTTCGTTACAGAATTGAGGGAAGATTGATGGTGGATATAGAGGGCGAAGATTCTCTTTAGCTCTAATTTAGAAATAAAGGAAGATGGACATGCATATCTATAAGCTGCAGGCACGAGTACCGGTACATGTAGCTCATCGGGCTTTTCAAAGCGCAGTGCAGCTCCAGTGAAAGTACTTGTATACAAGAGAATAAAGATGAAAAAGGCAAAGGCCTATTGTTTGCATACATGTAACTTTGCCAAACAGAAAATGAATCATGTCGATATTAATCGTAGGTGAGTCACGCTCAGGACATACGAGACAGAGTCACGCATGCCAATCACGTGGAGGCTCCTGCGGCTCTGTTGTCGAGGCTCTGCGGTAGCCAAGTTCCGACTCGCCCTCCGCTCTGACCAACTCCACGCGACCTGTCAAAGCTAAAGCCACCATGCGTCGTCGGCGGCGGCGGTGTGGCCGCCCCTCAGAGGGCTGGCTCATGGAGATGATGCCTATCATCGGGAAACAATCGCCATAAAAACAAAACATAAAAACACAAGAGGAGCCTGTCCAATGCCTTGCCAGAGATCGTACAGCCCTGAGAGGGAGGGGTGACTGATCGGCGATGATTTCGACGCCGCGCCCATCGATCGGGATGGGGGAACTTTCCTTCCACCCAAGTGGCATCGTGTAATGTTTATTGAAGGTGAGGTTTTGTGTCCAGGTGAGGGGGCACCAGTGCTGTGCATTAAAAGCCCTTGGACTGCCCGATTGAGTGCGAAATGTTCCTGGCAATCCTGGTATGATCCGATCTTCGGGTCAATCATGTTGCGCAAAACCCACCACATACACAAACGCAAGCAGGGCTGAATGGGAAAAGGCTAGGGACCCAATATCGATAATGGCAATGCAGGGCTGAGTTCCACCACTTTCCCCGCAGTTCCAATGAAAGGCGGCCCTTTTTACTATCACCTCCACTTAAATGGCATGCAGATGTTTCTCTGAGCGACTTTTACCCTTTATCCTTACCATCTGGATCACTCACACCTTCAACCCTGGGTGGTCAGAAGATTGGTTTATGGAGTATCCAGTATTTGTTTATCCCTGGTTATACATCAGCACGGATATACAGGCGGGGTTAGACGTGGAAATGGGAATCGCTTCACTCGGTAATCCTCAGTTCTTGTCCGCCAGGACCGCCGATTTGGAGATTTGCGCAGTGGAGGAGCTCCCACGGTGGAATTGAGCTTGGTCATGATTCAATGCTGGGAATTGTTGAAGACGTTATCCAGGTCCTCGATTCAACTCGACTGGTCAAGCGAGTAAGGTATTTGGAAGGGCTTACCGTAAGGTGTTCGATGGACCCACACGGCCATTCTGGAAACAAAACCCTAACCAATTGCGAAGGGTGGATGGGTGGAAGGAACGAGAAGTGTTTCTGCGGCAATCTGTCAGGCCATCATGCTTGATCCAAACTTTGCCATGCTAGTGGTTGATATTGGCAAAAATGGATATACAGCATCGACTCTTTTGAGCTATATTTCGTTCCAGACTCAGCCCTTTATTTTGTTTTTGACCCATACCCCTGGTATTGGGCCGGGTTTCAACTTCGGAGCATCGTCCTTTGCATCTGTAGAGGTACACTATTTGAAAGAGGAAATAGTTCCAAGCTTTAGTTACTGTGGGCAGTGTAATAATAGCACTCGTGTTTATATTTCCAAACATAGATTCTGTGTCTACTTACAGTAGAGCTACATACCACATATGTGAATCACGGGCCCAGTCCAGTCCCCAAGTGTTTCGCAGTTACAAATACATGTAGGTACATCTGAACCTAACCGGGAAGTCTAATATTAGTGATTACACAATATTGTAACTTTACGAAGTCTATATATAATGATCTGTACCTAAACCTCTTTACAAACCTAACCCACCTCACGGCGCACCAAGATTTGTTTTCCAGGTTTATCAGGTGACTCAAGTTCAAATCCAAAAACCCAGGAGGATAGTTCTGATCTTGTTTTCTTTTTAAGCTGTGATCGATCGCTCCCTTTGCCCGTTGACCGCATTTGTGATTCAAATGTATCCAGCTTCCAGTCAAAGTCCGATGGGAGCTCGTGAACCTTAGTGGCAGGACCTCTCGAGTGGAACTGATATAACTTATGAGTATAGGTTATGTCTGAGATCACTGGGTAATTATTTTAAATCGTGACTAGACCATGTTATATTCTAGGTCACGACATGCTTTGGTGGTCAACTAGAACAGGTCGGATAAGGATATGCACAATAATACAGGTAGAGCGATATCGGTGCTCTTAGATGATTCAGGTCAGTTATAAGTGTATAGCTGTGATTCATAGCATATTCTATGATCACTTGCGTATAATTGATAATATCTCCTCGACTTATTGACCGATCAACCGTGTCCTTTGTATTTAACCGCCACGTTACTCAAAATCATAAACCTGGGCCACGGTGTTCAGTACAGTCAATTTGTTTTTACGATTATTGATACTGCAGGTCAATCGTAGACCTGGATCAATAACAGATGGTTAACCTAAGTTGTAAAGTTCAGTATATAATTCCTTTTGTCAATTGAAGTAACTGTGCGCGAATCATGGGATATCACTCGTTTGATTCACTCGTATCTACTCGAGTTGGTACTTACAAGTGTATGAGTTCTGATTGGACTAAAAGGCAAATCGGGTAATTGAACGAGTGTTGAGAGGGGAAACTATTCAATCTCGGGAAGTTCTCTCAGTCACTCACTGTCACGACTGTGCAGCGATACAACTGGTTTTCTCATCTATTGTATGTGGAATTGACCTCTCAAAACTAGCGTTTCTTCCGTTGTCTCTGTTTCTATTTGTCCCCTGAAAGATAAGGGGACATAAAAACTTAATTTTAGCTGAGTATTTTTTTTGACTTAGAAGTTGATCTTGGTATGTTGGACTGTGAGAATACCTTAGATACATAGAAAGAAGCCCCCACTAATCTCGAGATCCCAACTTTTTTGAAACTACAGTTTTATTAACAAGATTGAACTGTGATACATATCACCCATTGAAGATAATCTTTCTATACTATATTCAAAACACGATTATCTGTTGACTTCGCTTTAGTCGAGTGATCTTCGGTGATTATGGACACGGTGCAGCCTCGTACCGAGAATTTCACCATCGACAGCAAGTTCGGGGCTTAATAAATTTCAAGTACACTATAAATTAGTATACTAATAATATGCCTACAGCTTTCTATTCTCTGAGATATAGTTGTAATTGTTAATTATATGATAGAGATATCAATTATCTAGTGTCTTATGCTGAGCTAAAAAAAGAAAGAAAAAAAAAGTGTAGCTTTGACCCAAATCGAAGGTTAAGAAACTTTATAATAAAAGTGTCCGGTACTCTTCCATAAACGTTTCAAACAAGATTTGTTAATATATTCATGAATGTCCTATGATTCATGGCCGCATTAGTGAGTGCGGCCCAATCGGCGAAAATTATATGTACCCTTGAGAGAGATCAACTTATAGGAAATAAAAATGGGTGTTAACTTCGTGAAGAGGAAGACTTCGTCTCTAGGGCAAACATACCGAAATAGCGACGCCATCATAAGGTATCACTCGGGGCTTGGCAGTATCAATATCAAGTGCTTGACGACGCCTCATCTTGAGCATAGGCCTTCAACTGGGCGAATGATGGATGCCTAATACTTGTCATATTGTAGTAAGATATTTTATGTACAGCAGTGATGCCACTTTTCTGTAATCTTAAATATCGGTGACATTCGTACGCAAGTGTAGCGGGAAAGACTGTTATTCCCTACAATTCTATAATACAGCGCATGAGAATTAATTCACTCGGGATATCAGTCGCCCACTAATTATGGTTGAGTAAATTTTGGTATATTTATTATAGCTCATCGCTGTTAACTGATTTCTATGGCGCGCGGCTGATGAGTACGCGTGAGCGAGTGCTCACGCGCAGTAACGCCGGCCCCCCCGTCTATTCCACATGAACCAACTCCCAAACTTGTACATGAAACCAAAATAAAGTAATGGCTAAGAAAAACGTCCAAAAGAAAGTGGGATAAGAGAACGAAGAGAATATTCAACAAAACAATAAAACCCATCACAAGCGTAACCTTGTAATCCCTAAGCTCCATCAACCAAGTAACAAAACAACAACAGTGCGGTAAGATATAAACAAACAGTAGTGAAATATAAACAATAAAAAATACTGGAGGTTGTAACGTAACGAATGCAGTCCTCACAGCTCCCAAACATAGTCCACAACATCTTCGTTCTCTTTCCTCCAGATCTCTTCCGCCAATTCAATCTTTCGCTTCCTCTCTACCTCTCTCTGCCTCTCTTCCATATCTCTCTGCCTCTCTTCCATCTCTCTCTGCCTCTCTTCCATCTCTCTCCGACTCTCTTCTCTCTCCCGCTCTTTTCGTATGTTGGCCTCGATACGCTTAACTCGTCTTGTAATTGCTGCCCATTCTATATCTCTAGACTTCTTGTGCTGGAGTTTCTGGTTTTCAATTACGTTTTCTTTGAATTGTTTCCGTTGTCGTGAAGAGAACTCGATAAACTCAGATTTAGATTGTTTCCAAAGTTCTTGTAGCGCCCTCTCTTTCTCCCTTTCTTTCTCTTTCTCTCTCTCTTCAGACTGAGAGCGGATTGCTCGTGCGGCTTTGAGAGATGCTAAGGCACGTTCTCTTGCGGCCTGGAGTTCGGATGACAACGATGGCTGCAGATAGAAGTGTTAGTATAATCCTTCAGAAAGATAATAGAATTGGAAGTATCGAAGGGATAGAAATATTTATCACGTGGGGTATGTAAGCTTTTTCATAATGGATGACAGATTGATGACGACACGCGTTTGAGGCTCGAGTCTCGGTGCGAAAATTTCAACACGCTTTCTCAATGGCTCTAAATAGTCACTTACTTTTGATGTCTCAACCTTACTCGTCTCAACCTTACTCGAAGACGCCGTAGTATCACCAGAGAGACGGACGACAGGTATCGGTTTTGGTTCTTCCACAGCCGGCCTCTCGTCCCTCTCGACCACCCATGGCGCTGGAGTGGATTGAGGAGTTGGGAATGGCCATGGCATCAGAGGGACCACAAAACTGTTTGCGCAACTGCCATATGCTTCTTGGCAGGAGTTTTTTCGCCCATGTCTGCGGGGTTTTGGTTGCCGCATCATTGCTTTTTGGTGGTGTGTGTATGAGTATGCGAAGACTTGAGAGGGAACGAGAGGTGTAAGCTACTTGGCTGGTACGTCAGAGCAGATAGGATACAAGCTTTTCTGTGTACAGGACTCAATGGGAGGGGTGCGTTATGTATGGAACCTACATGTTTTTTGAAAGAAAAAAAGTGATCGTGGGTTTGAAAGTGGGAGTGGTTGAAAATTGGGTTTCGTGACATGATAGAGGTGAAGATGAACCCTTGATCAATTGAGTTAGTTATCATATTGTATACAGCTGTTTACACAATACAATCGTAAGCGAAGGATACATGTACTTAGCCCTTGACTATGGTCTAGTGTATTCATAGAATGTCACTCGACTGTCTTCGGGTAGCGTAAGCAGCTAGCTCATGGCAACCATGGTTGTGACTAGACTATAAATAGAATGTTGTACTCTCATCTTCGTACAGATGTCGTTCTTTGTTATCAGTGCGGGCTCCCCTTATACTATAGGTACATGTATGTTTACTTACATAAATACGGCGGAATATATTCTGCAAATGAGTGCTTAGATGTAGGCAGAAATTAAGCTTGTTTATATCATTGTATTGCATTTATGCATCAAATGAGGCAGCCGCCAGGGTTTACGTGGGCATTCACGTGTTTGAGATCGAAGACACATGCCTTTTATCGATTGTGTTTGTTTAAGAGGGTGCGAGAGCCGGGCATGAGGAACACACACCCACTTTTTCTCAAGGGACTGACCCCGACGTTTAATTCACATTCACTCTCACCAAAATAGAGAAACCAATTCATATGTAGATGCGAAAAGAGAAGACACACAGCTCTATGAAGAGCTTTTGAAATTAAAATTGATTCCCTGGGAGTTATGGCACGAGAAGTCATATCCCCTATGGTTGTCAACCCCCAGGCACACCTTTTGATTTTGGCTTATCAAACAGCAGAAAAGAGCCTTGATTCGTTTTTATTGCCCCGTCCTCCTGTGGCGTACTGTGGCTTCCGCTTGAAATCTTTTAAAAGAGGCGGTGTGTGAAGGGTTGACAAGCATAGGGGATATAACTTCTCGAGCCATATTTGATAATTCTCAGTATTCTTGGCGTTTTCACTCTGCTAGCGAAGTAAATGCATCAAAGCACACATTTCCCATACAAAAAATCGAGGGAATTAAGGCATCAAAATATGCATTAACTGACGAGGCTGCGGGGAAATGCATCCCATGACGCTTTTCCTACACATTTCCGCATTTCCCAACTGGAAAGTCGTCGGAAATGACGTCCACAAAACCTTATTCTAAAAAATACCCTGCTGAAAAAAGATAGTATATGTTATTCTTACAACAATTCGTAGTTCAACGTTTCTGTTCTATTCTAGCTATTGGATGTACTAGGGTTCGAATCCTAGCAAAATTATTATTTTTTACATGATCTTTTAGCTATTATGGGTTAGGGTAGAAGGGAAGTCATATCATGATTCATTTCCTGATGCATTTCCTTTGCTAGTAGAGTCAGAGTAGGTCTCAGAACCAAGATTTGTTTCATTCTAGTATTATTGCAACGTGGCGTCTGCCATAGCAGTACCACGGATTTTGCACTGAACATCCATATATTCGCACTGACAACTGTGTATAACCTTATTCCAATATAAGAACAGACTTAAATAGAAGCACACAATCTTCCTAGGCCCGGTCCCTTAGTATCTACTTGGTAGCTGTTTCATAGCATAGCACCCCCGCGGGGGGGGGGGGGGGGGTATACATGATCATATGAAGCATATACATACACGTGACAAATAAATTGTAAAGCGTGACTATGGCGTGACTGGAATTAATAGTAGGCGGGCATACCGGCGGACATAGGCCGCATAGAAATCACTATCCCTGCTAATTCCAGCAATACGAAGCCAGCAAAGTGTCCTTTTTCTAAAACTTGCAGTTTCACAATGGTCGAACTGCTTTATCAGGATTGCAAGTGCTGCTCGCCACTCTTGGTTTTTCTATCATCATTCTGTTTCACCATGAAGCATGGTAACCCGCATTAATCTCTTCTGGGAGTCTTGGTACCCTTCTTCAATCGAGAACATCGAGACAGAGTAGGCATTGTATATGCATTGTTACACAACGCGGGTTTACAAGAGCCTGACTAAATAAACTAAATAAAGTTTCCACATGATCTTCAGGTTCTAGATTGGTTAGCTCGGTATATTTGCCTTACCACAGGTACATGCAGGTTTTCAACCAAGATCCAAACGTCAACACACCTTTTGGCGGGTTCGTCCTGAATATATTGAGAGTAATGGAGCATTTTTGTCCCCATATTTCTGCTGCAGAAGCCACGTGCGCTACACCATTTTACGTGGAAGAAATATGGCCGAATAAGGATTACAGGGATGGACTAAAAATGCTCTAATATCATGTTCATCATGATCGGGATTAACAAGCGAAGAGAAACCTTTTGGCTGAGCTCCTCATTATCAATTGAGTTGGGATGTACAGCTGTAATTACCCGAAACAATCGTGGTATTTGCACACGAGGCCAATTGCGCTTCCTTCTTCACCCCCAACTCAATCCCCTTCTAGATCCCCAATATAATTCATTCTCACCCTCAGAGCTTTGTAGTCATCACAATTGCTTAGAACCCATCTACCTGGAACGCTTTTAACCAGAGCTTTACATGCCAGTTTGGTTTTCCGTAGTCGTCTCGTTCCACCCATAGCAATCCCAATCGAACGACAGTAGGAACACTTTCCCCCAGCCAAAATCCCTTCCTCGACACTCGATGTTATATCACTTTCAATTAACCCTAACCCACGAGTGATTATGCATGCACATAACCCATTATTACCTCGGCACTGCAAGAACCACGTTCTATACGTCATGATCCACGGCACAGATTAAACACCTCACGCTCACCATCGGTCGATGTTTTGCGCGAAATTGACGCCTGTACTTTATTGTTAATAAGAACTAATCGGACGCATGAAAGCCTTCTTTGCAATTAATTGCACTTGGTAATAACTGAATGCCTATTACAGGCTGAATTCCCCGGGGATGCGCCAAGCTGACCGGGGGTTTTGTGGGGAACTTGGCGGGGGGAAGAGCTTCTTAGCCGAGCTGTCCGATGCCTCCCTGCTGTTTAATGCAATGGGCGGAGCGCAGAGCACGCTGCACATACATACATACATACATATATCCGTCGCAGCACATCGCTGAAGAACTCTAGAATTGCGCCTTCTCTGCCTGTTGAGTTCTTTGCCAATATGGAGTTTCCCGGTCTGGTAGCATTACACAGCAATCAGCAGTAGGAGTACATAGAGTACCAAAGCCTGAGTGTGACATTGTGATAGGTACATGTAGCAGCATAGTAGTAGCCTTAGAAACCATCACGCAGTGTAACTTCTCAGGCCCATACAAAATGAAGTGGATATCAATATCAATCAGCTGCTGCAAGAGTTTTGTTATCTCATACTTGTATTCTGCGTGCATTGATTGCTGCCGTCGCCCTGGAATTGTATCTAATCGATAATTAATTAAGAGCTCTCACTCGTTTCATTATTCGCATTACGTTCGTTCGTCCAACCGTTCCACCACTAGTACGGGCAACAACCACACACCCCCTCCATCCCCCTCCACCTCCATCCATCTCAACGTCGTGACACACCTGCCTGCCTTGGCCTAATCTACATACCTGCATCACCACAACCATCCATCACATCTGCTATTCCCAGCAAACAGCTCTAACTCCCCTCCCCCCAAATATCACCAACTTCGGGATAGGCCTTATCAAGAATTCCCTTCAGCCTACCACTGAACAGACCCCCCCTACCACCCCGCTGCAACAAAGTAGCCATGGGCAATAACCCCTCCCGCCCCCCGCAGCAGCAGCAGCAGCAGCAGCAGCAGCAACAACAGCAGCAGCAGCAACAGCAGCAACAGCAGCAGCAGCAGCCTCCTCCACAGGCTCACCAACATCACCATCATCTCTTCCATCAATCATCGCACTCGTCTCCCACCTCTGCCCAGTCATCGCCGCCTACAGCTAACTTTCCTACTCGTGCCGTCTCTAACGCGTCCGACGCGTCCCGGAATAGAAGTGGTCGAAGGAATAGCCTTCAGCCCCTTGCTTCCGTAAGGCACCAGCCCACGTCCCTACCCGCAGGTGTAGGTCCTCAAAACGAGGATAATTTATCCGCACGGAATCCCGATCCCAGGTATTCCCGCAGGGAAAGCATCGCCGAGACTATTTCCGGGTCTGGGGCGAACGCAAATTGGACCCCCAAGCCGCTGCCCGATGACGATGACACCTCATCGAAGGCTCCCATATTGGTCCCCACAAGACAGACTGCTCCGAGTACGCCGTTGACGATTGCTTCCGGTAGGGCGGTTGGTAATGATGATATCCCCCCAGGGTCCGCGCTGCCGCCGTCTGTGGCTGGAGTGAGTGCGGATGGAATGCCGAGGAGAGGCAGCATGGCATCGACTGCCACTATCGATGAAGACGATGTCGATGTGGCAGATACCAGGACGATTCCCACACTTATACAATGGCCGCATGCCAACGAGGACAGGGTATATGTTACCGGGACCTTTTCCAACTGGAGAAAACGCTTCAAACTCAGCAGAAGGTATGTCCTTCTACCCTTATATCTTCGCTCCCTTCACCCCATTCCCCTCTTATACACCTCGACATGTGGCGATCTACCTCAAAATCACACATGCTAAACTCTCCTCCCCCGTCTCCTAGCGCAAACGATGACAGCTGGTCGGCTGTCGTTCCTCTCCCCCCCGGAACACACCACCTTAAATTCATCGTCGACGGGGATATGCGCACATCCGATGCCCTTCCTACCGCTGTCGATCATACTGGCATCCTTGTCAACTACCTTGAGGTCAATGCCGACGACATGCCTCCTCTTGGCCGTCAACTGACGCCAGAATCCCTTAATTCACCAAATGCTCATCCCCATGGTCATCACCACACAGACCACCCTCCACATCAACAAAACATCATGGCGGGACTCGTAAAGACCAATAAACGTTACACCAACGAAATACCTGGCTTTCTTAGAGATTTTATCGACGGGTATGGCGACGATGAGGACCATGGAAGGAAGATTGGATCAAATGAGGGTGATATACCGGCACCCCCGAGTCTGCCAATGATGCTCCAAAAAGTCATCTTGAATACGAACGGCGCAATGAAGGATGATGCCAGTGTATTGGGCATCCCGAACCATGTCGTGCTGAACCATCTTGCCACCAGTAGCATCAAACAGCAGGTTCTTGCTGTGAGCGCTACCACGAGATACAGGAAGAAAGTACGTTTTGATAGAAAGCCAATTGTTGAACAGAGACTAATTGTGCGGATTGTTAGTATGTGACCACGATATTGTACAAAGCTACCACCGAATAATCTAGCTACCACTGAATGCTCGAGTGCTAAGAAGCCACATCTTTAACATTCATGCATTTTCTTTATTTTTAGTTCTGATTTAGTTTAGGAGGTGAACAGGGGTGATTAACTTTATCTTGTACTCATATTTTTCCTTATCTTTTTTTTCCTTTTTCTTTTTGAGCGTTTGCATCTTTTTCTTGCTGTATGGTTATGGCGGGGTAAAGGGAGACAAAGCAACTACCTCTCCTAGAGATAAATCTCTTAGCTGCAATTTTTCTTTCTTGGAATTTCATTCTGGAGTAACGAGTTGCAGGCATGATTTACGGAGTAAAGAGTCGATTTTGGTGTCACTTGGTTATGCCCTATGTATGACAACTAGCGATGGCCTTTTTGTTTATTTTACGTATTTAAATGATGTTTACGGGATATCACATTGGCTTCGTTTTGGCGCATATTAGGGCAGTTAAGGAATGGCGTAACGCGTATCTTGCTACTTGAGCATTAATCCTACCGAAGTCATAGTTGGGAACCAAGCGCTCAATAGTTGTCGTATTCAGAAGATCTTCAAGTTGGTTATCTATGGGGGGCACCAATCATCAGTCGCGGGGGTTTCGAGGGGATGTAGTATGCCGATAACAGATAAGAACCTAGCCTTAGTCAAGTCCAATTATTTCTCGGGATTAGTTGGACGAGCCGGATTCCGAACGCCGGCCGGAGATATTTCCGATTTTCTGGGGATAAGGGTTTATTTAATAAGCTCGGAGAATTGTTTTTCATTGTCCGGTTCTAATCTATATGTAGGGATCGCTCGCCCAGACATATTTGCGTACAGAATTTCAGAACTGGTAGCGGTTTGGTTTGCATGTGCCAATTTATCCAATTGTGCGGGGCGAGACGCCAATGGGGATTAAGTCACAATCACGATTCACCAGACACAAAACTCATCAAAAAAAGACTTCAATTGAACAATACATCTGATCAAATTCGATCAGAAGTAAAAAAAAGCTAACTAATTGACCATCTAGGCGGAGACCAAGCTGGCAGGGGCAACGGCATCACCGCACCTCCTGCATCCACCATTCTGGGCAATAGCAGCCTGGTGGGCAGCCATCTTCTTTTGGTCACCGAGAGGGTCGGCAGACTCGCCCTGCAGGGGCCAGCTGAGGAACTCGTTGGTGTAGTTGGGCTGGTAGTCAGCGGGGAGAACCTCGAGACGCTTTCCGTAGTTGGTGACCTTGGTCTATTCGATGGTTAGTATTTTGTTGTTTGCACGCAGGAGAGGTATTGGTACTAACCCAGTCACGCTTGACGTTCTGGAGGTCCTGGGAGAAGTAGGCGAATGAACGCTCGAAGATCTTGCGGTTGAGAGCGGTGCCCATGATGGGCTTCATGTCGACGTACTCGGCGTAGGCCTTCTCGGGTTCGGCGAGGACAAAGTCGGTGGCCTTCTTGCAAGCCCTCATGAAGGCCTTGACCTTCTCGGGGTTGGCGGCAATGAACTGCTCGTTGGCTGCATACAGACAGATTTGTTAACACGGTCGATATATTTGCAACTGGGGGGTTCAGCGGCAACAAACCAATGTAGAGGATGGAGCAGAAGCAGCAGCATCCAAGCTCGGCGAGCTCATCGATACGGAGCATCTGGACATCATCGGTGGGGCGTCCCTGGGAAGAGAGCCACTCCTCAAGCTCGACCATCTGGACGTTCTCAAGACCAATACCGGCATCAATGTCACCGTTGATGATGGCCTTGGAGACGTTCATTCCGCAGCGGATGGCGGTGTAGTCGTTAGGGGTCATTCCGTAGTGCTTGGTGAGCTCATCGATTTGGATCTGGAGACACCATTATTAGCAATTGAGGAGTCAATTGGTTTTGGTTATAGGATTAATATACCTTCCCAAACTCTCCGACGTATCCAATACGCTTTCCATAGAGGGACTTGAAGTCGGTGGTGATGCCACTGGACTTGAGGTAGACAACACCAGTGAAGGGCTCGTCAAGGAGGGATCCAATGGACATGATGGGGAATCCACGGGCCTTTCCGGCAAGGGTGTGGATCATGGCCTTGAAACCCATGTCGACCTTGTTGCTACCGATGATCTCGGTGACATCTATATTGATATTAATTTCCTGATAGATATGAGGATCAATTGGCTTTGTGAAAGGCTTACCTGATGGGTCGTTGGGCTCAAGGAGAGCAACTGAGACGCCCTCTTCCTTGAAGTACCCCAACTTCTGGGCAAGGAAGACCGGGGCATGGTAGGGGGTGGCATGCCAGTTAAGGAGGAAGGTGATCTTGTCAGTAGACATGGTTCTACACCAAGTCAGCAATCTCGACTTACACGAGCATGGGACTATTGGGGACGAAGAAGCATGTTCCTTTCGCTAGAATTATCTAGATCAAGTTCTTGTACGGTATAATCTCAGAACGGTCCCAACCATCTCGCATTGGTCACTCATAGAGCAGCCAATGCTTGAAGGAAGAGACCGAACACCCGCAATGCTCTTCTATAATAGCTACCTTGACCATATGATATATTCTTTTAAAAAGACCCATCGACTTCTCCGTCGACACCGTAAGAATCTCCGACGTACATTGGATTGATTGGTTATCTAACAAAGTTAGTAAGAATATTTCTACCTGCCATTGGATGTGGATGATGCAAAAGCTCGAACCTGTTGTAGTGTTTCAAAGTTATCCGAATAATTGGAATGTGAAAGAGTGGGAGAAGGTGGGAGAGGGAAGGAGGGGCAAGAGAACTTATATACCACCAGTATTACGTCCCCCCACCCCCCGCAACCTTACCAAAATTAGTAAAACCTACCGGGATACTCTTTTTTATTAGGCGTCATTTAATATCACTCGGCCAGTTAATAAGCACCCGGATAACGATGATAAGTACGTAATCACCTTACAAGAATTCCTGTCCTCAAAGGCACACAAGAGAGCTACTATGGCCTCCATTCTCCGAGGAAGAGTCCACGGAAACCGTGTCTTTTCATGGACGCATGATATGCATCCACAGATCTTTGTTCAGAGAGGAACGTGCCGTTGTAGAACACCTCTCAGAAACGTCCGTATTAACAGTTCCTCCGCCATGAGTTAAAGAGGTTTACAGGGGTTTCCTCTAGCCTATCAACAGTTTTAATCTGGCTGGGCAGAAAGCGGGGTACAAAACGACTGGCTTGATAATATAACGAGGTATTTTTGCCAGACAGGCCGGTCTTACCTCAAAGGTTCATGCTGATCTCTTCTACTTCCAAAGTCTTTGAATTTGATTACACGGGCTTCGAACGACTACCAAGGAATTGAGCGATCTAAGAGGGGGTGGTTTACAATATTACAATACTCAATTCGATAATCAATTCTCTGAGGTCATACAGCATTTGGTGTCACCCTGCACCTTGACTTCGCCCAGAGAAAACTTTTCAACCTGGAAGTTGTTAGGCCTAGGCCTATTCCTATTCCAAAATGCTGGGAAATGACCCTTGCTTTGCTGTGCCGGGTAACCGTTACAACCGGTCTTCGACCGCCAATAGTTTCGGCTTTTCCCATATGACTGCCTAACCCCACATTGATTTCGGGATCTCCTGCATCTAAACACATGGGCGCTCAACCTTGTTTCTCAAACGAAGCACGTTTTAAAGCCTAGCATGGCGATACAGCATCTATGCACTGCAGAACCTTACTGGCTGTTAATTACTTTACGGCACAGAAGCACAATGTCCAAGTGGCAGCCGGCTCCTGTATATGGAATCTAGATGCGCCTTCCGAGGAGAGGTACCCGCGGAAATAACTTTAATCTAAAAGCTCTATGGATACACAGATTTGATCCAGCGGTTTCACGACATCCGTTAAACGCTAATATCTGAAACTCGATGCCGTTGCTGCAAGTCGGGACAACGATAGGTATGCACGTGTTGACTTGTGAGAGCCTTAGGAAGTAATCTTCTTCCAACACCGGTGTCTTTGGGGTGCATCGAATTAGTGTCCGGTTGACTGGAAGGTATCAGGACTTCGGGGGAGGAGGATAAACAGGGAAAAGAATAGGAGACTTGAAATATTATCTCTTCTCGCTATCTCCGTCTTTGGCCATGGATTTTCTGATACTCAAAGAGAGCATGCTCTAGGACCTCATATATATCTGGCTATATGCAGTCCTGGAGTAACTAACCAAATAGACGCACATGCTCACTGGAGAGACTCCTAAATAGAAGATATTCTGTTCAACGGCGGCTTTAGGCTATGGTAACAGCAAGGAATATCCTCTGTTTAGAGCTCATGCACTATCAATATTGCGACATAATCTGTGGTGAACCGTTGCATTGGGAGGGACAAATCCAAAGACTTGCCAAGACTCGAGTGATAGTTTGTGATCGGTAAACAGACTTTCAAAGTATCTACCGCCTGAAATCTTGAGGTATTACTGCACAACGGCGCGGACCCCCTCTATTGAAAAGAAAGGTCTATAGCAGTATATGTTTTAAACTATGAGGGGGTGCTAGACACAGCTCAGCTCGCCAGCATAAGCTCAATAATTTCCCTAGGTCTCTATAAAGGCTGAGGGTATTATTTGATTGTTTGCTCGATTTATGTTCTGAACTGGCGGTAATCGGTGCCTACAACGTATTGCGCCTAAGGGAGCCCGACGATCGACATTAATATCGATTGGAACAGACCGCAGCCTTGGAACCATAAAACTATACCAAAACCTTAGGTTCTTTGAACTCTCAGCATAGAGGCCAGAGATATGACGAATCTGGGAGCTAAGATGTTTCTCTTTAAAATAAGTCGGATTAAAGACCTGATTGAAGTGCAGTATGAGATACAAGAACGTATATGGAACGGAGGTTCTTTATAAAACACAAAATCAAGACATTCTCGACAAGAGAATGTGTGTAAAATATCTGTTAGCGAAAGAAGATATGGATATTCTCAATCATCGATTATCACTCGGATGTCGAAAGTGTTGGATTCAACTTAGATTCCCAGGTGTAGAAATTTCTTGGTGCCATTTGGGACCGTGCCATGGATTACCGGTGATTATAGAGACCGTTGTTGGGGAAGGCTTCCAGTATTGTATTCCGGCTTTAGGTCCTTGAAGTCTTTCGTCCTGGTATCTCATAGGCCACCGTAGTCCTGCAACTGGTATAGGTCCTTTAATATAACAATTTGCTCAGTAACGAAACTCTGGCAACATCTTTACACTAAGACCTAACACCACGTTAGCTCCAATGCTCTACAACGACATACTCACCCCCAACGAATATCGATATTCACAACCAGCCTACTCATAGGAAACATCACAAGCTTCAAAACCCGGCCCAGAGCTCCAGAGCTCTTAAGTAGGGTAACCACACATACTTGACAGCTCTCAAACCCCCAACGTCGTCCACATTCAGAATAAACCAAATATCCAAATATGGCATCCACCGAAACCGCCACCGCCCCTCCACGGGGCACCCTTATAGCCATCGAAGGCCTCGACCGCGCCGGCAAATCCACCCAATGTGCCCTCCTCATCGAACGTCTGCAGCAATCCGGGCACAAAGTGCGCCTCCAGAAATTCCCAGGTACGTACTGCGCCTCACACTCCCATAACCCCAAACCCAAAGCTCTACCTGCTAACAAAGACAGACCGCACAACCACCATCGGCACCCTCATCAACTCCTACCTGACCTCGGCGACCGACATCGACGACCATACCATCCACCTCCTCTTCTCCGCCAACCGCTGGGAGCTCGCGCACTCCATCCGGTCCGACATCGCCGCGGGCGTGACCGTCGTGCTGGACCGCTACGTGTACTCGGGCGTCGTGTTCAGCGCCGCCAAGGGGCTCGACTACGAGTATTGTCGCGGGCCGGAGGTGGGGCTGCCGCGGCCGGATGTGGTCGTGTTTATGGACCTGGACGAGGGGGAGGCGGCGAAGCGCGGCGGTTTCGGGGAGGAGCGCTACGAGGTGCCGGAGGTGCAGAGGAGGGTCAGGGAGATGTTTGGCGTGATGAGGGGGGATGAGAGGGATGCGGGCGATTGGGGGGTTGTGGATGCGGGGGCGGAGGTTGGGGTGGTGGCGGAGAGGGTGTGGGGGGTGGTGGGGAGGGGGGTGGCGTTTGCGAGGGGATGTGGGTTGAGGAGTCTCCAGTAGGTGTGTGGTGGTTTGACTGTTTGGCTTTGTGTTTGCCGTGGGCGTGCATAGATGTGTTCCAGGTAGAATCAGTAGATTAGAAGCGTGGTTGGTGTCAATTGATAAGACGAGACACTCCCGGCCAAGTGAGACATGCGAATTGAAACATGTGAATCGTCACATTTCCACTCCCGAAGCCTCAATTCCAGATCCAGGAAGCCGTGAAGAAGAGTAACCGGGAAAGAGAAACAGCCCAAGACATTCTCATGTAATGCCAACAATCACCAGCATCAGCCAATTCCCCTCAATCACACCTCAGGGTTAGGGGTCCTGTTACCTCACCTCCATAGTCAGTAACCATCACGATACCTATCTCCAACTCTTATCACTAACCCCACCCCACTCCCCACCAAAACGCCCAAAACCAAAACCAAAAAAAGCAGAAACCAATGGCATCCCGCCTCCTCCGCCGTCTCCCCCCCCTCAGCAGCCCCCTCCGGCGCACCCCCACCCCGCTCGCCGCCCCCTTCACCCGCAGCCACACCACCAGCACCAGCACAAGCACCTCCGTCGACCCCACCGAGATCTCGCACTTTGACGGCCTCGCCTCAACATGGTGGGACCCGCACGGCTCCTCGCGCCTCCTCCACCTCATGAACCCGCTGCGCCTGCGCTTCATCCAGACGTGCCTGCTGCGGGGGTCGCCTGTTCCGCCGACGCCCACCGCGCGGGGCACCGAGTCTGTCGGCGCTGATCCGATCGCGGCTGTCCAAGGCCGTGATGCGGAGGGGCTCAGGTATCTGGATATTGGCTGTGGGGGTGGGATTCTGGCGGAGGCGCTGGCGAGGCTGAAGAGTACGAGGAGCGTGGTGGGCGTGGATGCGAGTAAGGGTGTGTTGGAGGTGGCGGAGGGGCATCGTAGGATGGATCCGCGGCTGGTGGAGGGGGGGAGGTTGAGGTATGAGAACTGTGTGGTGGAGGAGTTGGGGGGACGGTTGAAGGGGGAGGAGAAGGGGGGGTTCGATGTGGTGAGTTTTTCTTGAGTGAGAGGGAAAGGGGGGGGGGGGGATTGGGGCGAGTGAGAGGTTGTGGTGGGACGGGTGAGAGAGGGAGGGAAATGACTATCCCCACACCTTTTTCACCCGGCCACCAGTGAGCCAGTCAGCTGGCCGCCGTGCCAATGATCACTCTACCCCGTCAATGACCACCCCCCACCTTTCCCACGCCCCCCCCCCCAAAAAAAAAAAAAAAACCCACCAAATAACCTTATCCAACACCACTAACACCCCCCAGGTCACAATGATGGAAGTAATCGAACACGTCCCGCACCCGCACGCCTTCCTCTACACCGCCATGTCGCACGTGCGCCCCGGCGGCTGGCTATGTCTGTCTACAATCTCACGCTCCTGGATATCCTACCTGACGACCGTGTTCGTGGCCGAAGACGTCTTGGGGATTGTTCCGCGCGGTACGCACGATTGGAGCAAGTACCTGAACGCGGAGGAGCTCGAGGGGTTCTTCCGCGCCCAAAAGAACTGGGGGGGCGACGGAGGAATGGTCACGATGGGGTGTATGTATCTCCCCGGGCTCGGGTGGAAGGAGGTGAAGGGGGGCGAGAAGGTGGGGAATTATTTCTTTGGGGTGAGGAGGGATTTGGAGTAGCGGGGGGGAAGGGGGAAGGGGGAAGGGGGTACATAGTTGACTAGCTGGCTGGCTGGATGGCTGGATGGCGTCTTGTGCGTTTTTTATGCCTTGATGGAATTTCTAGTTTTCTTATCTTTCCTTTTTGTTTGTTCTTTATGTCTATAGCTAATAAATGCTTGTGATTCCTTTTTTTCTCTTTTTATTTATGCTTGCTCTTTAATTTTTGGGATTACACACTACAAGAAGGGAAGAAAGAAAGAGGAAGAAAGATCTATACAAGGAATATCAAAAAAAAGATACAATGTCCAGTAACACCCATGCTAGCCAGTCACTCAAAAGAAGTAAGAAATATCAGTAAAAAGAAAAAGAAAAAGCCCAATCCAATCCAATCCATTGCCTAACTACTCATCCTCCATGACCATCTCCTTAATCTCCTCCTTCACCTGCACCGGCGCCGCCGCCGCAGCGACCGCCATCGGGCCCGGGCCCTCAAACAGCAAATGCACCTCATCCACCACATCCCACAACACATCCTCCGCAATCATCTCCGCATAGCGCTCACACATCGGGCGACACCCCTCCTCCCTCAGCCCCTCGACCGGGCACCACCAGTCCGGCCCATAATTCGTATCGACCACCCCCCCGCGGAACACCGACACCGCCGGATAATACCCCAGCGACCCATCATCCAGCTCGCGCCCGCCAATCGCCGCCGACGGCCTCGACGCCGGCGGCAAAAACGCATACAGGTCCTCCCACGGCGTGCCCACGTACTCGCCATTGCGGTACACCTTGATCCAGCTGCCCGGCAGCGTTTTCGGCGGCGCCGACGGCTTCGTCCCCGGCGACGGGTTCATCAGCTCCTCCATGTCCTTCGTGGGCTGGTACTCAAACTGCTCGTACCACAGCTGGTTCTTGTAGCGGATCGGGATGCGGTCGCGGATGATGTCGGCGCTCCGCGCCACCGCATCGCTGCTCAGCCCCCGCTGCACCGACAGCGGCGGCACACAGATGCGCAGGCCTATCACGTCGCCCGTCACAAAGTCGGCGCCCAGGAAGTCCTTGGGCCGGCTCATGTGCACCTTCTGGCCGCTCGCGTCGCGCAGCCCGTACGAGTGGCCGTCGAAGCCGACGGGCGCGTCGAGGGGCGCTTCGCGCCGCGCCCACCCGACGCGCACGTGCCCGCCGCTGCCGGGGGGGCCCGGCGGCGCGGTGGGCGACGGGATGCCGCGCAGGATCTTGCACTCGTAGTACCAGTCGCCTTCGCGCACGCCGATGTTGGCGCGCGCCATGCGCCAGCCCTTGGAGGTTGTGATGGCGGTGCCCGGCGCGTTGACGAGCACTTGGGCGTTCATGTCTTCGTAGTTGATGCGCGGGGTGAAGGGCTCGTATTCGGATTGGCGGTAGGTGACGGTGGGGAGGAGGCGGGAGGCTTCGCAGGGGACGTAGCGGAAGCCGCGGCGGTTGAGGGCGCTGCCATCTCACCCAGTCAGTCAATTGGCACGATACTACCACTCCGGGCGGGGGGAAGAGAGACTCACTGATCATTAACCACATAAAACTCCTCCGGCAGATCCGCAATCTCCGTAACGGGCATCATCGGCGGCGCCCTATGTCCAAAATAGTCCTGCTCCTTCGGCGGCGGCAAGCGCCACCTATTCAGCGTGGGCCAGCTCGCCGCGTTCGCTGCTCCCGCGCCGCCGGGGGTGTTGTGGCCCGTCGTGTGCTTCCCCGAGACCGTTCCCGTCGCTGCTGCCGCATTGGTGGAGGTTGAGCTTCCAGCGGTGGTGTGGGCGGTGTTGGATGCGGCGGCGGAGGCCTCCTTCTTCTTCCAGGAGTCCTTCTTCTCGCGGGGCTGCTTGCTGCGCGAGGGGAGGAGGGCGTCGGCGTCGTCGGTGGGGGCGGAGGGGCGCTTTTGTGGGATTGTGGGGGTGGTGGAGGTGGTGGTGGTGGTGGGGGGGGGCGAGTCGGGGATGTCGAGCATGGGGATGTCCATGGTGTTTTTTGTATTGTGTTTGTGTGTTTGTGTGCTTGTGTCTTTGTGTCTTTGGTGGGAGATGTGTTTTGTGGTGGTGAGATTGTTTCGTGGTGGTGAGGTTTGTGGGATTGTGGGATTGAGAGTTGCGAATTGTTGACGAGAGCTCGGGGAATGCGAAAGCACGTGACGGGAGCGGAGATATCCGCGGTGGGCGGGTGCTGACATAAGCAGAAGTGGTGCGAGTGATCATTTCCATTGCGACAAACTGAAGAAACGAAGAGGCATTGAAACCCCAGTCAGCATTCTTCATCTTGGCCACTTGCAAAACGTTGAAGAATCTATTGCTGGCTGTGTGCACTCACTTCATTGACTCAGAATAATGGCAGTGATGGAAGAAAGGAATCCATGAAAAGGTTATCATTTCGATATTTCTGTGGTCATTCTGACGCTCCTTGGAATTAAAGGTCTAGATGGGTTTTCATTAGAGGGTATTTAGAGGGACTGGTCGGCTATCCAAGAGCTACACTAAATGGCATCTAGCTATTATCCGTATTGTCACCGCATCTATGTAGAACTATAGCATTGGTTTCTCAATATGTCTTGTTAATGTCGTAGACCACCCAGCAGTCTCTATGTAGACTGTTCAAACGCCCGCGCAGCCCAGCCACCTTCGATCACGAACCATCTCTCCCCACCTCCTCATAACAACGCACAAGCACAAGCACAAGCACAAGCACAAGCACAAGCACAAGCACAAGCACAAGCACAAGCACACCATATATAAAACGGGCCAAATTAGCTATCCCATTACCTGCGCTGCCGCACCGGATCTTCCGCCCCTCTAAAGCTACATAAGCTAGCTATAAGCTCGCTGAAAGTACAGATATAGTAAAGTAATAAAGATATAAAACGGTAGAAACCACCTCCCTCTCCCCTTCTCTCTCCCCTTCTCCCCTCTGCTCCTCGATCCGCTTCTCTGTTGAGGTAGAGATAAATAAAAAAAAGGTCCGTCAGTGCACACCATCATCACCCATCGCATCATCATAAAGCCAAACATCCCTCCAACAAGAAAAAGCCGCCGCCAAACACAAAACATAAAAAAAAAGAAAGCTATAAATAAATAAATAAAAATACTAAAAGGAAAAAAAAAAAAAAAAGAGTTACTCCGTTAATCCATCCCCCCTTAATCCCACCCCGCCTGTCCTTCCCTCCCGCGCGCCCCCGCCTCCTGCCAAAAAACGAAAACGGAAAATAAAAAAAACAGATGAATGAAAAAAGAAGACCCTTTTTTAGCACACGACAAAAGGAGATGTTTTCAGATAAAATACAAGAAGCGAATCGAAAATAGAAAGAAAAAAAAGAAGGCCACCCTCGATCGTTAATAATAGCTACTACAAGTAATAAAAAAATAAAAACAGTAATGATGATATGATACGAACTCCCCCTCCCAATGACCAGAAAAAAAAACGAAAAGGAAAAAGAGACTCAAACTGCGCGGATGAGTACGTGCGCGTGGTGTGGTATAAACTAATACTACTAGTATAGTAAAAAAAGATCCCCAGAACGAAAAAAGAAAACCCAGATAAAAAGGAAAAATAGTGATAACGATAGTCCGATAGAGTAGACAAAAGAAAGGGGGAGGCAGAATTCCACTTTTTGAATAGTGAGTGGAACCTGCACATTGTATGCTAGTGTTGATATAAAAAAGAAAAATCCAGGAAGGGATGAGGGAGTCAACAGACAATAAGAAAAAAAAATAAAAGAAAGTACCAGACCGCAAGAGTCCCGCTGAATATGATATAAAAAAAAATGTAAAAACTTTTACCCCCCCACCAGCGTATACCAGCAAAGCGGCCGTTCCATCGTCATACCTCATCATGATCGCCCACATACGTCTTCGACTTGACCTTCTTCTTAATCCCACCCACAAAGCCACTCATAAACTTACTCTTCGACCTCCCCCCCTGCCCCTGCCCCCCTCCTGCCCCCTGCCCCCACTCCTCCCCCGCCGCCAGCCCCACAACCCGATGCGCCTTCGCCGACAGCGGAAACATCGTCAGCACCTGCCCGCCGCCGCCCGTCCCCGCCACCTTCTCCGCCACCTCCTCCCACCTCGCCGACAGCGAACTCGACGGCCTCTCCGCATTCTCCGCCTTCTCCACACACACGCGGATGCGCTCATTGACCTCCAAGCACAGCTCATGGAACCGCGCCAGATCCCCCTCGATGTGGTGCTCGGGGCACTTTGCGTGGTGCACCGGCCACCACTTGAGCCACATTGCGACGAGGGCGGCGAACGCGCGCGGCTGGTCGATCAGGAACGGCAGCGAGGGGAAGCCCTCCTTGGACGGCTGCGACAGCCGCGACAGGATCGTGATGGGCGTGGCGTACGATGGCGGCACGGTCTCCTGCGCGTACAGCTGCGTGGGCGGGATGGACGTGAGGTGGTCGACAAAGTCGCGGAGGCCCGTGGTGTGCGCGTGCAGGAACTCGTTCATGGGCTCCATCCACGGCTCCTTGACGCCGAAGGGGGTCATGTTGGCGAGGCCTTGGAGCGACTTGGCGACGAGGGTGAGGGTGCGCTGGGCTCGCACGCCGGGGTGGTCTATCAATCACATTATTAGTATCTATCCCAATGAGTTTCGACACAGTTGGGTATATACACACCTTTGAGCAGCCCAAACAGCTTCGGATTCAGTATCGCGGGACAAAAGAACCGCAGGAACAGAAACCCACACACACTGCTATAGCTCACACTCTTCAGCAGATCGCCATACCGGTCCTCCACACACGCCCTGATATGCTTCAGCACCCTCCTCAGCTCGATCGGGCACCTCTCATGGCTCTTATAGATGCTACTCCAAATGCCATTCACAATGCCCATCAGCACCTTCCAATTCTTCGGCAGGTTCTCGCCGGGCTCCATGCGCACGGGGTCCACCTCGCAGTACGTGTCCTCGTCCGCAATCTTCCACAGATGCTCGCCGAGCGTCTCCTCCAGATACTCGCGGCCCAGCCTCTTCATATGTGAGTCCAGCGCCTTCGTCAGCAGCGAGTTGCCGCGGAAGAGGATGTTTGCGTCCATCAGCGCCGACTTTGAGACTTCCCGCCGTGGGTGCGGCGCGTCCTGGTCCGAGGTGCACGACTCGTCCGAGTTGCGGTGGCGCCCGAGCCCGGGCCGCATGGGGATTGTTTCCTTGTGGAGGCCGTCGATCTCGCCCTCGGCGAGGGACATGAGCCACTCGCTGGCCTTGCCGTTGACCTGGTAGATCTTGAGCAGCGTGTCGGCCAGGCGGCGCAGGTCGGGCGAGATGACCTGCGCCATCTCCATCGTGATGCCGCTGGTGAAGTTGTGCAGAAGCTGCAGACAGAATGGGGGGATTAGCACATCAACACCAAAAAGAAGGGGGGGGGATACGCACATCTGAGATATCCTTATACTCATGCGCCATGAGCACAATCAACTGCTCCATGCCAATCTTCAAAAACATCTCGCCCACCTTCTCCTCCACGCCCTTATTCGACGACATCAGCGGCCACCACCCCTCCGTATCCGTCTCAAACCTCAGCGGCCACCACCCCTCCGTATCCGCCTCGAACCTCAGCTCATCCGATATATCCAGCCTCCCAATGACCGCATCCTTACTGCCCGGCACACTTACTCCTCCCAGCCCACCTCCAAATCCCCCTCCAGACCCCGTCGCCGTGCCCGACCCCTTCGTCTTCCACCGCGGATGCCGCTGCTTCAGCACGACCCCCACATCCGACATCCTCGCCGGCAGGTCGGGGAACTCATAGTCCTCGCGCCAGAAGGGGTTGTGCGTCTTTGTGCGCACCATCGTCTTGGCGCGCACCTCGCCGTCGAGGATGACCTCGGCGTAGCAGTCCAGGTTCTCCTTCAGGCTGTCGAGCCCGCCGCCGGGCATCATGATCTTGGCCTCGACGACGCGCAGGAACAGGCTTCGCTGCACGCGGTACGAGTCCACCAGGCCGTCGCCCACGTCCTGGCCCTCGGTGATGCCCGCCAGGCCGCGCGAGCTGGTCGACGGCGAGGTCGGGTTCATGCATGCGGGCCCATACAGCTCCGGCATTGTGAAGGCCCTCAGCAAGACAAACCACACCTCAAACAATATCCGACTGTCGATGCTCAGATACACCGGCCTGGCCAGCGACCCGCTCGTCGACAGCTGCGAGTACTGCGGATACACGGCGATGCAGAACTCCTTATCCAGAATACTCGGGTCCAGCTGCTGCACGGCGCACCTCGACAGCTGCTGCAGCATGATGACCGCCAGCAGCGTCGTGTCCGCCTCCGCATACATGCGAAACTCGCCATTCTCCTGCAGCGTGCACGATATCTGCTGCCACGTGACGCCCGCCGAGCGCTCCCGCCCGCCGCCGCTCCTCCCCGACGACGACGACGAGCCCTTCCCCGAGCCCCCGCCACTGCCGCCGCCGCCGCCGCTGCTACTGCCACTGCCGCCCGACGCCCCCGACGCATGATGATGGTGCAGCCCGCCGCTCAGCCCGCCCTTGCGCCACAGCAGCATCTTGCCGACCTTGATGATTGCCGCGTCCTTGGAGAGCGTGGCGTCCGAGTTGCGCCGCCGGTCGACCTTGCGCTCCTGCGTCAGCACCAGCGTCTGCGGCTTCACCATCTTGTTCTGCGGGCCCGCGGGCGGGATGGGCTGCCAGCACAGCAGCGCCGCCAGCCAGCGCGTGAACTGCGTTGCGTCCAGCGGCCGCAGCTTGATGGGCACGATGGACGTGTGTGCGGAGACCTCGATGATGCCGGCGCTGTCGGCGGACCCGGTGTCGTCGGGCGGGTGCGTGGGCTTGACCTGGCAGCCGCGCAGGTCGGCGATGATGACGGTTGGGGGCGCGGCGGTGGCGGACGCGATGTTCTCGTCGCGGTGGTGGATGAGGTTGCCCGTGTCCTCGTTGATGAGGCAGTAGCCCTTGACCCACACCATGTTGTCGCCCACGCGGTACTCGACGTAGCCCTCCATGCGCCCGCGCAGCTCCTTCATCAGCCGGAACACCGTGCCCGTGTCGGGCGGCGGGGGCAGCGCCGGCGCAATGGGCGAGCTGGCCGTCGGCGACTCGCTCAGCCGCGCGCTGAGCGTGCTCACCGACGCCTGGTTCCGCAGGAACCTCTGCTTGCCCGACCTGACCAGCACCTTCCCCCCCGACCCTCCGGACCCTCCAGACCCTCCAGACCCGGACCCAGACACGCACGACCCTGACCCCATCGCCTGCGTCGACGGAAAGCCCACCGACGTCGCGCCGCCCTCCTGCACAAACGCCTGGCCGTACCGCGAGCTATGGTAGTGTATGGGCGACTGTATCATGACCTCCATCGTGCTCGGCCTCTCCGTCGTCGGCGACGTGCCCCTCCTGCGCGCGCCCTCGCCGTCCCGCGCACGCACGCTCAGGTCCGCAAACGGCGGGAACCCCGGCCGCGACAGCAGCCTGCTCTGCCCCTTCGCCCCTCCTCCTCCTCCTCCTCCTCCCCCCATGCCCATGCCCATGCCCAGCAGCCCCCCCGGCGACACTGGGTCCGTCGGCGACTCCGGCCCGTGCCCGTGCCCGTGCCCGTGGTGCCCGCCCAGCAGCCCCATCATGTCGAAGCGGCTCGTGTGCGCGGGTGTCCGTGGCGGCGTGGTCGGCGAGTGCTGCGCCACCAGCGAGTCGTCTGTGTCGTTTCCGTCGTCGTCGTCGCCGTTGGCGGCCGCGCAGTCGGGCGACACGGCGCGGATGGTCATCATGTCCCTGTTGTGGCGGTGGTAGTGGTGGTGGCTGTGGTAGCTGCCCGAGAGGGACGACGAGTCCGAGGGCAGCGAGTTTGAGAGCGGCGGGCTGTTGCGCGCGTAGCCGGGGATCACGGCGGAGGTGTTGATGGGGAAGTAGCGGTCCGAGGTGGTGGTGGTGGTGGTGGTGGTGTTGATCGATGCAGCGGCGGCGGCGGACATCCTGCTGGTTGGGTGGTAGGGGTGGATGGGGCTTCGGTTGGTCATTGACCGTGGAATTGTGGTTTGTGCTTGAGGCGCTGCTGCTGTTTGGGCCCGTTCCTTATAGTGGGAATTGGGAATTGATAAGATGAGAGCGTGAAGATTGAAAGAAAAAGAGATTGAGAGAGAGAGCGAGAGAGCGAGAGAGTGAGAGAGTGAGAAAGTATGCGTGTGTGTGTGAAAGAGAGTGGACGAATGACGCTGCTCGGGCCCAGTCTGTCTCTCTTGTCTTATCTTGTGTAGAAGAAGACTCTCGACTCTCGATATCTCGCTCGATATTGCTTAAAATTATTATTACGGGGACACAACTCAACTCAGCAACAGGAGGCAGCAGCAGCAGCAGCAGCACTAAGTAGGTAATAGTAAGTAAGTAAGTAGTAGTAAGTAATATCGCCCAAGAAAAGCACACACACCCACCAATTCCCTGCAGAGAACCCAAAGAAAACGAAACGAAAAGGAAAAGAAAAAAAAAAAGAAAAAAAAAGAGAACGAAAAGAGAAAAGAAGATCGGCCTCTTCGGCGAAACAAGCCAAGCGGAGCGGGCGAGCGGGAATGCGGCGCGCGCGCTGGGCCCTAGGAACGTATGTAGGTCTGCAGCAGCTAGCTAGCTAACCGGCCGGGGGTGCGGGTATGATGTAGTAGTAGTAGTAGTAGTAGTAGTAGTAGTAGTAGTAGTAGTAGTAGTAGTAGTAGTAGTAGTAGTAGTATAGTAGTAGGTATGTAGTTTTCCGGTTGTGAATTTAAATTATTTCTCCGTCTGTAAGTACGTTCTTCGCGCGGGCTGGTTGGGGGGTGCGAGGCGAAAGGGACTCTTTTTTTGCTCTCTCTTTCTTTCTTTCTTCAAAAAGGTTAAAAAGTTATTTGTTTTGTATATTTTTTTTTTGTTTAGATTTGTGTTTTTTTTAAGATTTAATTCTTCTTTCCCCCGAGGCTGCGCCCCTCACTTTCCCATCCAGGCCACAAAGGTTCCAGTAATCTCCTCGATCTTTGGCTTTGGCGTCGTTTCCGTTCCCATGTGTTGGTGGGCTGTGGATTGTGTGGTGTGGTGGGTTGTGGATTCGGTGGTGGTGGTAGACAACGGGGATTTTTTCCCACCCTTTGGTCTCTTCTCTTGTTCTTCTTCTTCAGTCACTCGGTGCTGTCTGGCTGGCTGGCTGAATGCTAGTACAGGCCGGCGGTACGGTGGTAGTAGTAGAGGCTGGTAGGTTGGTAGGTAAGAAAGCAGCAGCAACAAACAGCCAGTAATGGTAGTAAGTTCAACTAACAAATAAAAAACACCCAAGAACAACACCCAATGGCGATCGGTGATGCTGTGCCAAACGCAGTCTCTACCGGAGTCCTCAGAACGAATAAGCCCTTTGTTGGCGGTTCGGCCCTTTTTTTCCCTTTTGGCGTCGTTGCGAAGTGAGGATGAGATGAGGTGAGAGAGGTGGTCAAAAAAAAAAAAAGGGTTCGGACCTCTGATCGATGTCGTGTTTTTTTTTCCCTCTTTTCCCTATGATGTGATGCTAGGTGGTAGCAGGCAGGTGGGTAGGGTAGGTACAGTAAGTGAGTGGAGTGGGTGGGTGGGTATGTAGGTACTCTATCTAGGTAAGTAGGCAGGTACCGACTACACTACTTTCTCTCTTTCTGATCACTCACACACACTTCTCGATTCTCTCTCTTCGCTCTTCCGGTGTGTGGGGGGGTGGGTGTGGGAGGGATGGGGATGGAGATGGGCAGGGTAAGGCCGCGGTAGGCTGGCTGGCAGGCTGGCTGACTGACTGACTGAGAGACCCTGGGCTGTCTAGTCTGGTTGTCTAGTCTGTCCGTCTGGCTGGCTGGCTGGCTTAATGCTGGGAGGGGGGAGGGGGGGAGGGAAAGGGTGGGCGGGTGATATTCGGACCTGCGTCTGTCTGATGCGAGTCAGGCGGGTTTATGTCAGCACGCAAACCCGACGTAAAGGATAAAAAAGATGTATGCTGCCTGCTGTATGTAGGTACAAATTTATGCAGGTATCAAAAAGGAAAAAAGGGAAAGAAAAAAAAAAAAATGAAATAAAAAAATAAAAATAATTGCGGCACAAAGAAAAAAAAGCGGACTGTGTGTGCTCACGCCTAAAGGAATATGTATCTTTTTTTCTAAAATGTTTCTTTCAAAGAGGAAGAAAAAAATACTTTTGTTTTTTTGCGCAAAGTGGAGCACCGGGATATGTAGGTATGTAGTAGTAGTAGAAGTAGTAGTAGTAGGTCAATGTATGATGTGCGCAGGGCAGGAATTCGAAGAGCGAGTTCCCATAGAAGTATGTACAGTTGGAAGGTAAGGTTTATAGTAGTAGTAGTAGTATGTAATAGTAGTAATTGTAGTAGTTGCAGTAGTAGTAGAGTAGTAATAATAATAGTAGTAGTAGTAAACGTAGCGGTAACGTTCAGTGGTTGGTGAAAATCCAGCCTTTGGGGATTCCAAGGGGGAGTGGGGAACAGACAGAGTCCAGCCTAGATAGCAAGAGGGTCCAGACTGGTTCGTGTTTTACCCGCGTCCAGGGGAGGAGTGTGGAGGTGTCAGGTCCGTCAGTAAGTCAGTCAGTCAGTAGTCAGTATGTATGTGTAGGCAGGTGTCCAATTCAAGCACCACAACTGCACTGCAGGCCCAGAGAGAGAGAGAGAGAGAGGCTCGGATTATTATTATATTATTGTGTTCCTGCCCGGGGGGTGGTCCACCACCGCTATCTAGGGAATAGTGTGGTTCTGTCGGAGATTGAAAGTGGAAAAGATTCACGGCGATCCTGAAAAGGGACTGGAGTGTCGGGGCGTTTGTGGGAAGGGGAGCTGGGAGGGAGGATAAGAAAGAAGAAGAAGGAGGAAGGCAGTTGGAGGGAATTCAAGGCTAGGGCAGGGAGTGAGAGTGAGGTTCGTGGCCGGGCGAAGCGGGGAGAATGAGGGGACCGTGTTCTCGTCTGTCTGTCGCCGTGGACGGAAAGAGTTTGGGTCGGGCAGGTAGAAGAGAGAGTGAGTGAGTGAGAGAATCTCAGTGAGAATGGGATGTATGTACCAGAATGATAATAAATTCAATGTGAGCAATATAACGAACGGTGCTGCATGAGATGGAGCCTGGGGTACAAGTGATTATGTGCGTCTGCTACTCTACTCGTGATTGTTTACATATGTACCTGTATGTAGGTTATTGTACATAGGCTACATCACACGTAGGAATGTTGGGGTATGTGAGTGAGAAAAGTCTATCATGTAGAGTTATGATTATGATTATGATATCGATCCCTTTCACTATTTCTCGCTTCCTTCCTGGACGTGGATGGAGGAGTGGAGGTGGAGGTGGGTCCCGTCAGAAGTCGTACCTTCCCTGGCCCACACCCTCTATTCCACATACGATACTCTATTAGTCCCTCCCTGGATATCGGGTGGGGGGATTTGGGGGGAATGAGGGATGAGGAGGGATGGGGGACCCGTGCTGGCGGATTCCACCACATCACATCACATCACATCACATCACATAGGGCAACTCTAGAATATCTGTATCTGTAAAAAGGCAAACAGATGGATGGATGGATCGATAGATGTGCCTGGCCCGGGTGTGAATATATTCTTTTGTTTTTGTTTCCCCTCAGCGGCTGAAAAGTGCCGATGTGACAGATGTCGACTCTGGACCTCACCTCAGAGGCCGTTCGAGGTTCTGTGTGTGAGTGTAGCATCGATTCCATCCTGTAGCATCGATCAGTCATATCAGCTTTAGCGAGCGAGAAAAGTAGGCAATCAATCAAATCATCAATCAAGCAAAGCGAAGCAAAGCAAGCAAGCGATGAGCAGCGGTATGCAGGTACCGCTAGCTCATAGTAGGTGCTCTACTACCCACATCTAGAGTAGGCAACTAATAATACGCAATTTATATCTGGACCTACAGGGCAGGACAGAACGACCATCAGTTCTAGAGTTTTACAAAAGAGGGGGGCGGAGAGAATCCGAGAGATGTCGGAGGGCAGTTTTAGGAAGGAAGAAAGGCTGCTCGTTCATGTCTTACCCGGGTAAAGCCTTAAACATACTCTACCTAGAGTACAGCTCTCGAGATATGATCTTCCTCCCCCTTCCACTCCGTGATAAACCGACCAGAGTTAAGTCCTAGGGTTTCAGGAGTGGAAGCCGGCGGCCGGCGGCGGAGGTGGTTGTGGTTGTGGGATTTAATACCAACTTGCCCCTTCCTTCCCTTTTCAAATGTCTGAGTATTCTAATTATTTACTTACTAAGGGAGCAGCACTCACTCCTTTGTTCTCCCCCACCACTACCACAACCAACCAACCACCCCTCAACTGGCAACCAACCACAAACCCACAATGACCATCCTTCTAGAAGATCTAACGGTCGAGATTATTTCTCCGAACTGATTTTCCATGCAAAAAAACGCCATGTTATGTATGTAGGCCTAGCTGGCCGACCAACGCCAACATCACGCGTCCCTTTTTTCTTGTTTTCATTACCGCTCATCTAGGCGCTGGCACTCCGCGGGCGGTGGACCTCGAACGCACATGCCTGTCTTGTCTGTCTGTCTGCCCTGCCTGAGATGAGATGACTTGCAGCTAGGTATGCTGCCGTAGAGCAACTGGCTGGCGGAGGACCGAGTACTCTTGACCGCACCGGCTCTCTCTCTCGAACTGATATCATGAACAAATAGCCTTTATCTATTTAAGCAATCTGCCAGCTACCTACATACATGTAGTCAGTGCACTCGGAAAGTGCGTGCTCGCTCGCTGCTCACTCGCCAAAGCTAATTGCGGTTTGTAAGAAAGTGATCGAGGATCATCGGTGTCTAGACAAACAACATTAGAGAACATCAATTCTTCCCTTTCATGACTTGTCTCCGAGCCATGTAGGTCTTCTCCGTGCACATATGCTCATATGCACATATGCATGGAAAGGGAAAACAGAACAGAAATGAAAAATAATAACTTTAATCACAACTAATAATCCCAG